TGCTGCTAGACTGGCTACTTAAATTTAGCAAAGTGTGATTTATTACAAGCCAGAGTCACATTCTGTATAAACAAACACATACATATATTAAAATGTGTGCAGTTTGTTCTATAGCTTGTAGATCTTAGTGCTGCCCCAGGTGCAATGGTCCTGGAATCCTTTTTTCCCCTCCTGAAACTGTGTATTATTTTGGTATATGCAGTCGATTACCCCAGACCTATTTACATGCAAATCTTGAATATTAATATATATATATTTTACTCTCAACTTAAGTATTTGCCATCATTTGAAAAGGAAATTATTATCTCATGATGCCTTAGGAAAACCATATGCTATGTTCAGATCACCAAGCTGCTCTGCTGCTGACATTTGAGGAATTACATTTTGCAATGACAAATCATGTGCCATAAAGAAAGCTTTTGGTTGTTTCACTTCCTGCTCTTGAAAAAGTTTAATTATCCATGTAAAATTGTGAAAATAACATTCATTCATGATTTTTAAAGGATTGAAATGGCTAGTCATATTTGATGTTTTCCTTAATGTCAATAAATCTCATGAAAACCAACAATGCAATAATCCTATCAATGCTCATTGTCTGGTTTTTCAATAGCCTTCGAAAGACATTGATGAGGCAACTCACTGCAGTGGTTAACATGTTCCTTCAGTAAAATGATCAATGAAGTCATTGTAGTGCATTTGGAGTCAATCCTACACTCTTCTGCAGTTGAATATACCGGCTAGAGCTTCAAATATGAAGTATATGCTTTATATATTGCTGTGTGAATAATGTTTTTAAAGCATGTTTGTATTCATGGAGATTATTTATGAAACAAAACTAAACATTAATCTGGGCAGAAATTGCTTGTCTTAAAACAGTGTTTTAAAAAAACATATTGGCCTAGATGTAGCCTTAAAGAGACTGGGGCAGTCTGGACCATTGCATTGTTTGATTTCCTTTTTGAAATGGATTTGTTTGCAATACATACATATAGAATTTTGCCAGTTTTATCTATAGAAACTATAGCTAAATATTGACCTTCAGTTTGTTTGTGTGTCTTTTGCTCAGATGATCTAAAACTGAGCTATACTAAAAGTTGGTTAAGAATAAGATTAAGTCCTGATTAAAATCAAATTTTGCCAGATTTAGACAGTTTAATTTAAGCAAAGTTCTTAACAGATGTGTTAAATGTTACTAATGGCTGCAGTTCTTTATGTCTTCAGTTCTTTATGATCCCTAATGGTCTTATTGAAAGCTCAAGTTGGGCACTCAAATTTGGTTTCAAAACTAACTCATCCATGTAATATGGATAATGTTCGTCATTGCTTGAAGTCTTTCATATGCATAGAGTTCATTCAGTGGCTGTGGTGTGAGTATCCACCAGAGCGTTTGTTTTCTGTTGCTACTGGATTCTTGTCACGTGTTGCAGGGCTTAATTGGGACTCAGCAACCTTCTGGTTCCTGGCTCACACACCACTTCCTTGTGCTCACGTCAGACAATGCCAACCTTCTCCTACATACATATTTGGACGTTCCGACAAGGCATCTGCATCACATGGCAGGGCTGTCAGTGCTCACAAATCGGGGGTGGGAGGTGCTGAGAGAGCAAGAGGCTGTTAACAAGCAGCCCAGGAATTTTGATGGTGGCCAGATTGGGGATGTAGATTGGAGGACAGGAATTAAGTTGTGGCAGCAGGATGCACCAACATCCGGAATGTGTGGTGATAGCAGCCGTGCAAAGACAGAAAGTAGTCTAAAATCGACATGCATCACTTTCACTATTGTTTTCTCTGTTTTGTTTTGGATAGAGTTGTTGTTGTGAGGTGTCAGTAAGTACCCAGCAGAGCTGCACGGTGTGTTTGACTTAACTGTATAATTTTTGTGTGTGCCTGTCTGTTAACCAGCTGGTGCCTCGAAGAGTAAAGTCCTGCTTGTTCATCCTATTAAACACGAGGTGTTGGAGTAGAGAAGACACAATGAAAAATGTGTTTGGGGAAAAAAAAACTGTCCATACAAAGCATTCAAGCTGCCAACCTCGTAACACATCAACAAAATCTTCATACTGTTGTAACCTGGTCATTGCACTTGTGTTGGGAGCTTGACCTGCTGATGACTGACGATTGTGCATGGCTCCAGACTGTGTGTGAACATCAGCTTTAGCCACACCTTTAACAAAAGCCCACTGCGCAGCTGAAAAGTGCTCTTAACTAATTAACAGAGCTTAGTCAAAAGCAGCACAGGTATTTCCCTGCAGTATTCAAAGTATGCTCTTAAGTCAGAAGCACATGACAGTTTTGTACTTTGGATGGTATTTGCTTATATAAAAGATAAGACTGTAGTTCTGAGCCAAAACGGAAATGCAGGTACAAGTTTTTCAGAATCTAGTATTGAGTCTTTTTGTGCTCCCATATGCAGAGTTAAGAGGATTATGTATATTTACAGAGCAGAGGAAGATGTGATGTGAAAAATTAATGGAAATGCACCTGGACAAGTAATCTGTGTGACTTGTATATTTTTAGCACAATGCTGAGTGATGGTTTTCGTTTACGCAATTAAATATTTTAATTACACGTGATGTTGCAGCACATGCGGCTGATTCTTGGCATGATGGCATTACTGTGTTGACCACTACTAATTTACTACAGGGATTGTCAGTTGCAGTCTACCACACTACTGGCTGCACGTGTTTGGTTGGTGCATTGTGGATAATAATATACAACACATATATAGTGTTGAGCATGTGTTACAGTCAGTCTGTGTGAGAACACCTGAGATGCTAATTTACATGTGTCATCAGAGTTAAAGTGGATGTGGGTTAAATGTTTTCTCTCTTTTGCTCCACAGGTCCCTCTTCAGCTCATTGAGAGTGTGGAGTGTCGTGATATGTTCCAGCTTCATGTTACCTGTAAGGACTGCAAAGTCGTAAGGTATGATCAGTGAAACGGTTTCTCCTTTTTGTCTAAGGTATCAGAAACTTGATTTAAAATCGTGTTTTCACGTGTAAATGTGGGAAAACATTTGTTGTTCTGTTCGAATCATTTGATGCCACAGAAAAAAGTAATAACAGCTAAAAAGCAACAGAGTTAATTTGGAATTTTCCCACTGTAGTCAGACACTAGCCCTATCTCTACAGCACTGTATCAATGCTGGAGAATGGTCTGGCTGCACATCAACATCTTTTTACTGTAGGGGGGGAAAATGCTCTGGCTTGTTTGTATTTTCCAAAACCAGTAACTGTTTATAATTGTCTTGGGTTGTGCTGAGCCAAGATGCTGCGATGGTGCTAAAATAATAGTAAAAAAAAAAATAGCATATGAAAAATTGTGATAGAATTGTTATGGTGAAACATTTGCACAAGTAACATTGTCATTAAAATGTCTAATTCACTGAAAGAACCATGCAGGGCTGCCTGATTGCACAATCCAATTTTTTTTCAAAACTTTTCGTTTTCAGTGTGTTGCTGCTTGAGGCTTGTTGTTGTCAACTTAGACCCAATGGGCTGCCCGACTTGCAATACACTATTAGAAACCGTGGAAGAGCATACGTGATGTGATTGTAATGCAATTGCCATATATTTATAGAACTCTGCACAAATAGTAATTTACTCTTTGGTAAGGAGTTGTGTGTTTTTCACAAACAAAGAATAACACTTTCAGTAAGCATTTACTTGTTTCTGTTTTTTTGTTTTGTTTGAGTACCTATTGACTGTTTAATTTCGGCCTTTACATTTGATTCCCAGGTGCCAGTTCTCCACCTTTGAGCAGTGTCAGGAATGGTTGAAACGCCTGAATGTGGTATTGCGCCCTCCCTCTCGCTTGGAAGACCTCTTTTCTTTTGCCTTCCACGCCTGGTGCATGGAGGTGTACGCTGGTGAGAAGGAGCAACATGGCGAACTGTGCAGACCAGGTACCCTTCTGTCTCCCACATGTCCTCACATAACCCTAGCAGAACCCCTCCTCCACTCTGGGCTTATCGGACATCTCTGCTTTCTCTGTAGGTGAACATGTGACCTCGTGGTTCAAGAATGAGGTGGAGAGGATGGGCTTTGACACACAAAACGCCTGGAGGATATCTGACATCAACAGCAAGTTCAGGTAAACGCTGCTTTCATTCAGGATACTGCTGCTGTGTTGATTTCCTTCACTCCCAGCTAGAAGATAGATCCATCCTTTGCTTTCGTTGGCACACATCACAAGTCAGTGTATGTGTTAGACACTGGGTGGTTGTGTTATTGTACTCCATTGATGCTGCGCCCTGGGCAGATAAGGGGCCAGCCCAGGATTAGGTGTCTGTAGACAGAGACTTTTGTTGAGCCGTCACAGCCCTTTGGTGCTCCCTCTCCTTGTTTAATATTGCTCTCTCTGCCCCTTCCCCCTGCCAGGCTTTGCCCCAGCTATCCTCAGCAACTCCTAGTGCCCGCCTGGATCACTGACAAGGAGCTGGAAAATGTGGCAGCCTTCCGCTCTTGGAAGAGGTTTCCTGCTGTGGTTTATAGGTTGGTGTTTGGTTCTTCCAAACCAGACAGTTCTACAAAAATGAAAAGCATATGTGAAGGAAATTACACTATTGTCAGATAAAATGTTTATGCTTCTATTTCAGCAACAAACTCCCTGCAGTCTTAACTTCTCTTTTTGCCTCTGTTCAGAATGTGTCACCACCATCAATAGCACTTTAGTCAGTTGTGGTTCGTGTGTTGCTTTGATTTTTGGTTTTGGAAAACTACTGGCACCGAAAATGCAAACTTTTTATGCCAGTTTGTGCGTCACAGCACCTGAAATAAATATGCAACAAAGTTTTTCCTGGTGGCTGTAAAATGATTTAACCACCAGATCCACTCACTGTAGGGTCAAGGGTTCATGTTTTACCTTTTAATTTGCCCCTTAAATGCATGTTATGTGTTTTCTAAGCAAAAGGTAAAATTCATGTTCCAGCCTCTGAAAGTAGAATATGTGCTGGTCTGCTTAATATGACAGTAAAGCTAAATACTTTTTTATTTAGACTTTTGTCAGAGAAGCAGTTTAATTTTTCAACTTAGCCTTCAGAAATTGCAATGGTCATTTTCACAATTTTGTGATGTTATACATGCTATTCAATTGATGGTTTATGTTGTAATGTGCAAGAGAAATTAATAATGGATAAATGTTGTCTTATCTAGGGCATAGGCTATATCGCTATCTTGCTGTAGGACGTGTACTGTAGATAGCAGTGAATGCCATTTCCTTTCAATAATAAGATTGTAGCCCAGCTAAAATAAGCAGCATTGGCTTGTCATAAAATAATAATGTTGCACTCTGGCTAACTTCTCTCTGGTTGTCCCTCACATAGGCACCTGAGCACAGGAGCTGTTATTGCCCGCTGTGGCCAACCAGAGGTCAGCTGGTGGGGCTGGAGGAATGCTGATGATGAACACCTGGTCCAGTCCATCGCCAAGGCCTGCGCTGTGGACAGCAGCTCCCGCAAACACCTCTCCAATGGCAACTACACCAACGGCTCAGACCTGCCTGATACTGATTTTGGTAAGAGATGGCAGAGTGCTCCACTCGGTTATTTGGTGTACACGCCCACACACAAACACACACTTTCAGCTGAATACACACCTACCACCTCTCACAGATATTTCCACTTTGAGGTCTTGCTATCTGCATGAAATTACAGCAGACAGTGTTGTGCAATCTGACCTGTCAGGGCTTGTCTCAAACAGCAGGCTTACACAAACACACAGACATAGTCACTTCTTTTGTCAAATGTTGGTGGTATGATGTGCCTGAATGCGTCTTACTCACATCAAAATTATTTATTGGCAGTTTTTGATCATAGTAATGATCTCAACCAAACCATACATCCTGAGTTGTAGAGTTTTCTTTCTTTGTGTGTCTGTCAGAATCCTCCATGACCAACAGCTCAGAGGTGGAGACGTTGGCCATCCAGCCCCACAAGTTACTGATCCTGGATGCCAGGTCCTATGCTGCTGCTGTGGCTAACAGGGCCAAGGGGGGAGGCTGTGAATGCCCAGGTAGGTCTCGCCTGCTCAGTCCCTGGTTACAAGCAGAATTAGGTCAATGTGTGCTGTGGATTCAGGAGCTCAGTACACCGCAAATGCGATTGTTTTCAATGCTAAAATTAAAACCTCCACCAGTTTTTGTTTTATCCTTTTTTTCACAATTGTTTTCCTTCTGTTCCAGAGTACTATCCCAACTGTGAGGTGGTGTTCATGGGAATGGCTAACATCCACTCCATCCGCAAGAGTTTCCAGTCTCTGCGTTTCCTCTGTACTCAGATGCCTGATCCAGCCAAGTATGTTTTTTATGCCTCCAGCAGTGCCTCTAAATTTCCTTAGTAATAACTCCAAAACACTACAGGCTAAAACTGTTAAACCCAAAGCTCCCAAGCTTTGCTGTAGTAACTGGAGGTAACTAGTAATCACAGCTGTGTTTTGGCCTTGGCCATACATCTGTGCCTGATTTAGAAAGTCTGGCCCAACCCCAAGCAGAGGATCTCTTTCCATCTGCACTCCCAGACCTGACGCTACAATGATTTGTAATTGAATCGTGCTGGCTTAAGAGAACATTGTTGAACGTGGTTAGGAAATCAAATCAGAAGACAAAAAACAGAGTTCAAAAAAATCCTCTTCACCCTGGATCCTAGCCCAGCATGTTTATTTGGGTCATACAGTGTGTGTACATTTGTATTTGTGGGCCTTCTTTATTTGATTATTACTTGGGGCCTTTGCAGAGACTTTATTGCGTTTTTGCTAAACACAGCATTTTGCGACCATTTTGTCATTATTTCTGTGACGTTTTCAAAACTGTAACCTAATTTGTATAAGAATACAAAGCATGGCTGCTGAAAGACTTAACTTTTAAGCTTCAAAATTCGAAAGTCAGAGTTTTGTCAAAGACTTGTCTGTCTCGCTCACAGACCCTTCAAGTTTATAGACAATAAAAATCCCACAGTACTTAGAATAATAACCCAGATAAGATAAGACAAGTGGAATATTTACTCATAATTGATGTAGGTCAGGGTGTATCCATGTATCCCACTGATCATATAATATTTTAAAGTATTATGTGACCCTTAACCAAACAGTAATTTTCTGAACTTTGCAAAACACCAGGATTTCAAACTGCATTAATCAATTTAGCCACTATGAGGCAGAAAAGCATCCAAAAAACACCACCATACAACTGTCACCATGTCTCTGGCTTGTACAGTTATTGTAAACATGTTAGTAAACAATTGCCGGCTTTTACGTCCAGCTGATAAGTACACTGTCATTCAGCTGGAGTCATGCTGCTGATGAAATGGTCTTCTTTAGCTCTCTTTTGATCTTGGGAATCGATGCAGAACATCTCTGTAGAACTCTACCTGCCTGCCGTTTACTTTGTGTTTCTGTTGTTTCGTGTTGAGTAGGTCATGCACAATGGGTTTAGCAGAGCATGCTTACTTGAAATGGTTGCTGAAATTGGTTGTAATCACTATTTTAAAAAATTACGTACCAAATTACTATTTAATATTGCAAATGTGTGAAAAAAAAAAGGTTGTTTGATCAGCTTATTGATAACTGGATGACTTACAGGATTTGTACCATTTTGTTTGATTGTGTTGTTAATCCTTTGAACAGAGCTGTGATACGTGGCACTGCTAAACGTGATGTACTGGTCTTCATAAAATGTGTATTATCACTTTGTGTTTGAGATGTACAACGGCCTCTGATTTTTGTGTTCTGTTGCTGTCTACAGCTGGCTTTCTGCATTGGAGAGCACCAAGTGGCTGCAGCACCTGTCCCTGCTGCTGAAGGCGGCCCTGCTGGTGGTCAACGCTGTGGACCGAGACCACAGGCCCGTTCTGGTGCACTGCTCTGACGGCTGGGACCGCACACCTCAGATTGTTGCTTTGTCCAAGCTGCTGCTGGACCCTTACTATCGCACTATTGAGGTATAGAACGGGTCTTTTTTTCTTTTAGTTTAGTTTACTGCCTCTTGGGCTTTTTCTTTTTCCCTTTTTTTTTTTTTTTTTTTTTGAGAATATTGCCTTGAGAATATTTCCTTCCAACATTCCAATGCAGCTTTAATAAGAACATTTAATTGAATCTAAGATATTACAATGTCTTCATACAGGGCTTCCAGGTTTTGGTGGAGACAGAATGGCTTGACTTTGGCCATAAGTTTGCTGACCGCTGTGGCCACGGGGAAAACTCAGAGGACCTAAACGAGCGCTGCCCTGTCTTCCTGCAGTGGCTGGACTGTGTCCACCAGCTGCAGAGGCAATTCCCGTGCTCCTTTGAGTTTAATGAGGCCTTCCTGGTACGTACAAGTTTGGTGGTTGAAGTGTGATTTTGCTCACATCCTTACAGTAGGCACTTCAGAATGTTTTAAGGTACAGGTGTGCAAATAACACGTCTCTCATTAAAGTCTATTCACATTCAGTTTCCAGTTTGAGATGTTAATATGCATTTATCTTAATGGGTGTGTTCAGAAGTCAAACGAGGAAACTTCTTTTCATCTCTACACTTACCATACCTGAAATGCGTATACAAGTCTGTACATGTCAGAGTGTGTATGTGTTTGTGTGTGTTCACAGGTAAAACTGGTGCAGCACACCTACTCCTGTTTGTTCGGCACCTTCCTGTGTAACAGTGGTAAGGAGAGGGAGGATCGCCACGTTCAGGAGAGGACCTGCTCAGTCTGGTCACTGCTCAGACCAGCCAACCGCACACTGAGGAACATGTTGTACTCCTCACACTCAGAGACTGTACGTCTGTCATGCACTTTGAGCACTGCAAGCTCTGGTTATTTAGATTTTCCCTTAAAAATGTGTAAATTTTTGAAGCAATTAACCGAACAAAACATTTTCTAAAGCATGTATGAAGTTTTCTTTGTTTGTTTTTTTTTTTTACAAAGCTAGCTAAAGCTTAGCTAGGCAAAGCACAGAAATACATTTTTCAACCTGAAACCATGGAATCTAGTTTCCTTATGTCTGGATTTTTTCAAAGTCCTGACAGCATGGCCTTAGATGCATTACAGGAAGAATAAGCCAAAGAAAAATATATTTCACAAGGTTTCTTTAGATTTATTGCTAATTGTTGTGATCTAAAACTTGATTTAAAGGTCTTTTCACACCCTTCTGAGAATTGCATTTTTGTGGTTACTGTTGTTTTGTGTTTGTATTTTTTTTGTCCGTGTGCCATAAATAGTATTCTCCCAGCTTGAGGGAAAAACTACATACTTGGAACTTATTGCATTCTGATGTTTGTGTTCTAGTTTTATTTTTTGAAGTTTACACTTTACAGATGTGCTTCTAGATCATTTTGTTGCTATTATTTGTAATTTCCTGCCTTTGATTATATTCGGGTGTTAAGTTTTCAGCTGTTGTTGCAGGTTCTTCACCCAGTGTGTCACGTGCGGAACCTGATGCTGTGGACAGCAGTCTATCTACCCAGCTCCTCTCCCACAACCCCATCCGATGACTCCTGTGCCCCCTACCCTGTGCCCGGTGCCAACCCGGAAGATGCGCCCCTGGGCAGGTGAGCCTGGCGCGCTGGCACCCGACCCCCCCTCTCTTCCTCCCTCATGTAAGATAAACACAGGTTGAGACTCCCACAGCCAGAGGGGCCCGGCCTTTCAACTCCACTGCTTTGACACTTTTCTCTGCTCAGGCTTCCGCACTCACAGATACTGTTTTATGCTCTCCTTATCTCATGTCTCACGACAGTCATAACATCATGGAGGCGTAACAGGAAGTTCATGTTGATAGAGTTTATAGGATCTAGCTCTGAGTTAGAGAGACAAAGTCTGAATGTTCCTCTTTCATTATGTTTGTGCTGCATTTTTCTTGTTTTGATGAGACTGACAGTATTGATTTGTGAACTAAACATTTTATAATTATGTGTACAGCTTCAAATTGAATCACAGGGTGTCAAACATACTGAGTCATTGTTGTGTAATGAAATGCTGTTTCTGTGCCTAATTGTTCTCTCGTTTCCCGCGCAGACGTACGAAGACTCGCTCTTTTGACAACTTGCCCAGTGCATGTGAGCTGGGAAGCTCGCTGGCTCCCAACCGCCGCTCCAGTGACCCGAGCCTCAATGAGAAGTGGCAGGACCACCGGCGCTCTCTGGAGCTCAACATGGCAGTGGGGCCTGAGGGAGGGGGAAACCAGGATCAGGAGGTTCGGCCCAACGGAGTAGGGCCTTATCCAGATGGACCGGACTCTGAACTGGATGACAGCCCACAGTCCCAGAACTCACAGGCTGAACTCAGGCAGGGAGCTCCTGTGAACCTAGCAGGAGAGGAAGCAGAGGAGGCGGAGCTCTCTGTGGCAGTGGGTGTGGCCGAGGGCCAAATGGAGAACATTCTTCAGGAAGCCACGAAGGAGGAGGCAGGAGCTGATGTTCAGAAAGAGGGAAGTGCTGTTGTCTCTGAAGTTATCAATACTGGTGACACAGAGGTGGAGACAGAAGCAAAAGTTGAGGAGGAACATCAGTTGACAAAGGCAGACAGACCTGAGATTGAGCAAGAAATATTTACTAATGGTCACCATCCAGAAAATGGTGTGATGGAGAATGAGGAGGATGGGGACTCTCCCACTCTGCCCACACAGAAGGACGATGAGCTGGATCAACAAGCAACTGAGGTGACTCAGACATCAGAAGATGTAGTGAAGCAGAATGTAGAGAACTCTTCTGTACCGGAGGAGCTTGCACATGGACCTAGTGAGTCCAGCTTAGGTGAGCCAGAGGAGCCTGCAGCCCACAGAACTATAACTAACGGCTTTGTGGACAGGTCACCTGAAGAGCTGGGCATAGATGAGGAGAACTCTCCGGACTCTGAATCTGACCACGGTGTGTCTGAACCGGTGGAGCAGTTGGATAAGAGAGCCTCACTGATGGAGAGCTCAACAGAGACTTTAACTGAAGAAGCCTGCAGCAGGCTGGAGCTCCCAGCACAGCCGCCTGTGTGTCTGAACCGACAGCCCTGCACTGACAGCAGGAGCCAGGTGCCCTGCTCCAGAAAGGAAAAAGGGCTGGAAACTGGTGAGCACGGCTTTATCAGAACTTTAAATGGGGGCTGCAAGCGACCCTCTGTCAGTGCCTTTCAGTCTGCGAGTGCTGACCTTAGCAGGGATGGGCTTTGTAATGGTGACAGCACAGATGGAGATCCCTGCGGAGGACCTCACTGGGCCAAAGGGAATGGGGAGCGGGCCCCTCTGAGTCGACAGGTATCCCTAGTAAGCTGCAATTCCCTGATTCTCCACCCGCGGGGCAGCTGCTCTCAGCACAGGTGGTGCCACGCCCTGCATGGTCGAGCAGCCATCAGCCCGGAGCAGCCGTCCCGTAGCCACTTGGATGATGACGGGCTGACCCTGCACACAGATGCCATCCAGCAAAGGCTGAGGCAGATCGAGGCGGGACACCAGATGGAGGTGGAGACTTTGAAGAAGCAAGTGCAGGAGCTGTGGAGCCGCCTGGAGAATCAGCAGCACGCCGGATCCCACAGAATCAACGGAGACATGGGAGACGAAGTGGTAAGATACTAAAAGTCTGACCTTCATACTGACTGACCCTCTGATCTGTTCACTACCTAGTTGTAACTAGTAATAGTAGCGGTTACGATGAGCTTGACTGTGATCATCTTAGTCTCCGTCCATACAGACCTCAATGACGGACTCGGAGTACAACCAAGACCCAAACTGTCTGTCGCGCTGCAGCACAGAGCTCTTCTCTGAGGCCAGCTGGGAGCAGGTGGACAAGCAGGATACTGAGGTGAGCAGTAACACTGACCTCATTATATTTACCATGGAGCGAAGGAAAAAAACTATTAAAGCAGAGACTGTACTTGTTTGTAGGAAGCATTTTTCTATTCCAGAAATGGCAGATGGTGTTTGTCGGCCTGTAGATGAGGCCTGTAAACTGACTCTGGTCTGTATGTTGCAGGTCACTCGCTGGTACCCTGATCACTTGGCAGCCCAGTGTTACGGCTGTGAGAGCAGGTTCTGGCTCGCCACCAGGAAGCATCACTGCAGGTAAGTACCAAACTTTGTCCAGCTGCAGAACCTTAAACGTTCAGTTGCTGTCAAACACTCCTGTCTGTCTTGTTGAGGCGTTTGACCTGTTGAAGCATGCTCCTCTCCGGCTCAGAATGAACTTCTTGCATTCTTGTACTTAGGGTGATCCGAGATGGCACAAGAAGCATTTTAGTGCTCAGTGTAAACTTTTCCTTCCTGTTCTCTTTTAGTACTGCACTTTGTATGGAGTAGTGGGACATGCATGAGACTTGTTAAAAAAAATGGTTCAAACTGATGTAATCAAGAGTCCCTGGATGCAGACACTACATAGACCTTCACAGTTGGCAGGAAAACATTTGACCTCAGTGGAATTTGACCTTCTTTGTGTAGTGTTTTCTTGGGATATTTTTTGTTTGTTCTCTTAGATTGGATTAAAAGTCAGTTGACTCCCTTTATAGCTTTATGCAATAGATTTGCAACTATGACAGATTCAAATAGATGTGCCAATATAAAATTAATTTAGGAATCCTTTCTAATGTTTTATGTAAGGTTTAAATCTAATTTATTTATCAAACTGTTTATTAAACTACGTGAATAGGCTATGCCTGACTGGATGACCCTGTGAGCTGCTGATGATAGTTGGTGACTCTTTGAATTCTAATTGTATCCTCTGTTGTCAAAATCAAAATTACAGGAATTTCTGTGTTAATCTTGTATTTTTCGAGTCAAAATTATCACAGAAATTTCAATCCATAAAAATGATTGAAAGTGCTAACAAAGTTTAAACTTCAGAATATCAGCAAGCGACACAGTTCTGAATCAGAATAGTTACGTATCTGTTGGGTTCAAAGTGTCTCCTTCTGGCCAGTGGTCACCTTTGCGCTACACTGCTTTTGTTCTTTGGCCGTCAGGATTCGGATGGTAATCTGAAATATAGTTAGCAAATGATCTAATCATTCCTTGTAACCCAGTAACACACACAGCAGACATTAGGAGGTAGTTTCCTGGACAGTGATCCAGCCAGCAGGCCCTGCACTTCTGTGGTTAGTTGTGCTAATAGCCAGGCTGCGTGTGACACTACAGCTCCAAGCATAAATCAGACTGAGCATCTTAACAGCCAAACCCTGCTGCCCATCAGTGAGTTAATGTAACATTATTAGAACAGTTTGTACTCAACAGTACGGCATCTGTTTTAAACTGATTTAAAGTAAGGATTCATTTAATGGGTATAAATATTTTTCAAATCTATACCTACACTTGCTGAAGTCTTTGATATATTTGATGGCCAGCATTGAATAAAACCATAGAAAAGCTGCTGAACTTTTTAAAAGATCCTTGCACCCGACTCCTGTAAAATCTTCCTCATGTAAAAAATGACATACAATGCAGATGTTGATGCAAACAAATGACATGAAGGAGACTTCTGCTGCTGAGATCACGTGATTTCCTGTTAAATGTAGATCTTGCCTGCATCCAGGTCCATCTTGATGTAGCAGAATCCAAGATATCCTGACTTGTAGGCTCGTAGTATGGATGTAAAAATGCAGATTGCCACATATCCCATGATATTACTCCTTTCCTTTCTCCTTATTACACCCTCCCTGTGTGGTAAACATTCAGACATGCAGTTTGTAGCGCAATATTTAAGCTAGGATTTTAAGCCCATACAGCTGTTTTCACTGCTTTACTCATACTCTCTGTGACAAGTAAACTGTCGCCTGACTTGGGGAATAGTTGATGGTTGGATTATTAACTGACCTGATGTGCCCACACACGGCTGTTTAGAAGGATCAGGATGAGTTTAATTTGGTGAATTGTAGCTTTCTGTCTCATTCCATCAGCTGCTGGTATTTGGTCTGGTGTTATCATTCCCTCATATCACTGCTGTCCACTCGTTACTTGCTTTTCTCTGTGGCCGGTTGGATCACGTTAACTACTGAGTGGGTGAAATTGGAGTTGGAATAATTTCGAATGTTCAGTTGTAAACACAATAATGTGTAGTTGCCAGTGTAGGCCGTCACTTTTAACACACATCTTCAGCAGGATGTGTGTTTTAGAGTGTGATGTTTTCTCCACTGTTCAGGCAGCTCTTATCCATATTCTGCCCCTCTCCTCCTCTACAGTGGCAGAGAGCCTGTCCAGGAGGTCTGGTGAGATCCTGCTCCCTTGTCCCACCCCACCCTCCACCCTCTTAACCTGGCATCGCTGCACCTCCCTCCTCCTAATCCTAACCCCAGCCAACCCCTTCCCCTACTTACCTGCTGCATCTGGGTTCATTCTGTTTAGCAACTTCAAAGGGAAATCTCTTTTCATTTCTGAGATTTTATTGACTTACTTGTGCGTCCTGCAGCGGCAGTGTGTTTCCATTCAGCGGTTTTTTGATTGGCTGTGACTGTGAGCACGGTGCTGTCAGTGCTGTGATTGGTCGAGGACTGGTTATTTCATGTTAAAAGTGAAAACCTGGACGACAAAATCGACCCTCCTCCTACCATAGCACCACATCAGCACCCTGCCCCCCCACCCACCTATTCACCTACCTACCCACCCACAACACACATCCTGGCAGCATGCTGCCCCGAACCAGCCCCCTGCATCTCACCTCCCAGCAGCACAGCATGGTATTGGAGGCTACTGAGTCCACACGGTGGTGCAAAACGCTGCAGACTCAGAGAGAATTAGATGTTGGTTTTTAAATATTTCTGCTCAGGGTGAGTACAGGCAGGTAAAAGGAACCAATTGATGTGTCATTGTGTGAGCATGGCCTTACATCTGAATTTGAGCATGGGTCTTTGAAACCTCCAGTGTGACCTGCCTTCTTGTCCAGTGATGGTGTTTTTATGGGCTGAAAAATAAGTTATCACTGCTGTGTGTTGGAGCACCTCTGCTAAGCTGGCATGCAGTGAAACATCACAGTAGGGTTGAATTGTGAACCGGATGAGCGGGGTTTGCTCACAACTCTCATTCCTTCTTTCCACCTGTTTTATCCTGCGTCACAAATGGTCAGCTTTGAATCAGCCTCATTTTTACGTTCGATTCGTGTCCTGCAGGTTTTATTTGGTAATCTGAGATTAAATAATGTTGAATATCAACACTGATATTGTAAAGGCAACATACGTGCTAATGATTTAATATGCTGATTAGTGTCAACAGTGCGAACAAGGAGTGACTACGTAGTCCAAACACTTTAAAAACACAGGCTAGGGAATATGGAAATTATTGTGATTTCAGGGCATTTGTTTACAGTGACAGAAATGTATAATTTCACTTTCCTTATTCTTATATTTTTAACAGAATAATCACCCAATCACACCTAATCTGAACATGTAATCAGCCTTCTCTCTAAGATCTTCTATTAAGGATAATAATTAGTAAAAATGAAATAAATGACTAGTTTCCTGCAAAATGTGAATTAACCCTCATTTTTTTACTGCAATATAAAGTCTTGCACCTCTATGGAAATAGCACAACAATGGCTAGACAGAGAGAGAGCTTAAAAATGTCTGTTGTACAATAAAAAGAAGGTATAATGCGATAAATCTTAAGAAAAAAAATAAAGGCAAGAATGTTGACATTCAGTTAGATAACTTATTTTGTTCTTAGTATCCCAAATTCAGTTTTGGATTTGCTCTGTTCTGAACTTTTTTTGTTTTAATTTATAGCCTAATGGAATAGATGGTAGATAATTATGCAGATCTTGATTAGTTGTTTCTAAAATCATAATTATAGCAATATTATTATGTAGGAACTCTTAAAAAAAAAAGTTGATGTATGTGGTTTTAGCTTGAAAAGTCTTGAAAAATAATCATCCAGGTAACAGTCTGTGAGCTGACACTATTGCACGTTGAGCTGACAGGAACTGCAACTCTGAATAAATTAACATCCAGGCTCGTCTCAAATCATCACCACTCAACAACATTCAAATCAGGCAAACCCAGTTTTTGAATGTATAACGAACAGGCTGTCAACTGTAATTTAACACGATCTGCCAAGGAGACGCATGGTAACTGGAGGTGGAAAGAGGCTCTGTGTCAGACCCCCCGCTGATCTCTCTGTCCCCCCACAGGAACTGCGGTAACGTGTTTTGCGCCAGCTGTTGTGACCAGAAGATCCCAGTGCCAAGCCAGCAGCTGTTCGAGCCCAGCCGTGTCTGTAAGACCTGCTACAGCAGCCTCCAGCTCAGCTCGCCCCCCCTGGACCTGGAGCTGGAGAAACCCATCACAGCCAGCTCCAACTGAGGCTCAGAGGAGCGGGATGGAGGGGAGTCGGGCTGAGCCGCCAGCCGCTGACACAGGCGCACTGCTGAAGAGCACAGGAGCTACACAGAATGTCCCATGTACTTTGTGTGTGTGTGTGCTGCAGATATGGAATTTCATGTGTATATATGGAAGGTGACATGTTGGCGAGATGCCGAGCGCTCTGAACGGTGGGTGTGCACAGGGGTGGGTGAGTGTGTGAGAGAGGCCACACAGAGGGTTTGTGGCAGTGATGAACTGCACTCCAAGGACAGAGGAGTGAGAATGGACATCCTGGTGCCTTGGACCAGGCAGGCAGAGAAGGTCGTCTCACTGTGTTTGCTGAAGTCTCCTGGAGGACTTTGGTCTATTGAATCATTTCCCTGCTCATCAAGGTTTCTCATCAAACCTCTCAGTACCATCATCTCCCAGCCTGGAGGCTATGACATCAGCACTGACGAGGAAGCAATCATGAGACTCTCCCTCAGCAGTAGAGATGTCCAGACACTGAGCTGAAGCTCACAAATGCTGTTTAGGAAAACTTAAAGGGTCAGTTCACACAAATCATGTAGAAATCATAGTTCTTCATTTAGCTCTGGTGATACCTACTAATGTGTCTACATTTATTTTTCTTAGGTTCTTGCTGCCTCCACAGTAATGAATTGCATTAAGACTGCACTGTTATTGTCTTTACGCATTAGTCTGCAAGTCATGTTGTCAGTTAATTATTTAATCTTTTTTCTGTAAAATGTCAGAAAATAGTTACATGTGGCCATTGTGTTCAAAGAAGTCAAATCCAAAGTGAAAGGAAGTTCAGTTCAGTAGCGTACATGAATGAGAAGTCAGAATATTTTACATTGCCGAAACTTGAAGCAGAGAGAGGTATTTTTTGCTTGACTGATTATCAGTTAATTTTCAATTATGTGACTATTCAATTATGAAATAACTAACTGATGTTTGTAGCTCAGAGCGCTGACAAATGACATTTAAAGTGGTGCTGCAGGGATTTAGCATCACATTTACAAACACTTTTCAAAAGACACATTTAAAGAGGAAGTCTAAAGATCTAAGCAGCAGAGATGGCTGGCTGTGGGACAGCTCGGTTACAAAGAGTGCAGGATTTGACATTTCCCAAGTTTGTGGTCTCCAGACCGGATGATGTGGCTGACATGAGGAGTTTATACAGTTGTGCTCCCTAAAATATATGACAGTCACATCTCTTTCCAGCACAGATCAACTGATAGGGTTTTTCAGGTTATTAGTAGTAATCAAGGAGATCATATTTGAAACCATTACATTTACAATAAAACTGAATATCTTCGTGTCAAAATTCAGAATAACATCATTTCTAATGCGCAAGTTCTTTACGTAACGCAGCTCTGCACTGGAGACTAACAGTAGAGACAGCTGCATCAGAGCAAAGTAGCACATTCTATCATTAATTCAGTTTGTCAGGAATTGGTTCATAAAAAAAATGATGCCCATAATCAGACAAATGCTGAATATCTGATCCGATGATCCATTCCTACAGTGTCATTATTTCTGATAGTGTTTTGGGTGAACTGACCCTTTAACATACTGTGGGCTGAACCTCAGCTGAGTAGATTTACGTGCTTTGTTTGGTTATCAGCTTTTCATGCAGACGGGCACAAACATTTGTGTATATACAGAAAGTACAAAGAGCTCATTGATATAAAGTACAAAATAGAGGAGAAAAAAAATGAACCATCAGTTTTAAGTTTGTGTTCAGCTGAGGTTCAGTGCAGAGTGCAGATGGGAGACTCTGGACTCCTTTGTCTACCTTTATGTTAACAAAAGTGCTGTTGGCATGTTTAAGATGTCGTTTACTTTCTCCAAACACCCTGGTTGTTTGCAGTACTTCTCTCAACCCACGGTGAGGACAGTAAATTATTGTTTGCTTTTTTTAATGCCCTTGTAAAAGTCTTACAGCAGGACCAGTTAGAGGAAAGGCTTTGACTATCCAACCCTTTAAGAGCTGACGGCCGCTCGGCTCTTCCATGCTGATAGACTGTTATTACTCGTCTGCTAGGAGTGTAAACTGATGTGCTGTGGCGTTGTCAGTTTGTGTCAGTCGACAGACGAGCTGCAGGTTGTTTGTGCCCTACGTGAACTGACTGACTGTGTAATCTCGCCTGTTAGCCATACCTTCATGCCCTTCACTCACAGCAGCAGCCCCCTTTTTTGTTATTTTTCACCCAGCAGGCACTGGGAGCTGGACGTCTCGCTCTCTGTTCAGTCCTCTGGTGGAAATCAGAAGTGGAGGTGTGAATCTTACACTGCCGTCAACTTTTAAAGGCAACTCAGTGTCATTTATATTACTGCGTTTTTGATTTCCACCTTGATAGGCTGAAACATGGAGAGCAGCGGCAGCAGAAAAGGGCTTTTGGCCTAAAAGTCTGTAACTCCACATGAAATCTGTCAGAGACGCTTCACGGAGACGCCCACTCTGCCTCACACCCATTCAATGACCTCCTTGCACACACATTAATACATTTTTTTTGTAAAATAAATGAATAAAATAATATATTCAGATACCTATATAGCATTTAAGACAAATGTATAGAATCCTTGAATAGTGGCGCACTTAATTAGTCACCAAAAACTTTTTTTTATTTCCTCGTTTTCTTATGTTGTTAATTGCAGAAAAACACTTACATTTCACAGCCTGTTGAAGATGACAGGTGCTTTTTTTTTCTTTCTTTCTTTCTTTTTTTTTTTTTAAAATATAGAAGCAGGGTGTCCTGTTCTGATGCTGCAGTGGTTTTCCCTTTTAAATGCGATCATTACTTGGATTTTATTTATTAAGGTTTTGTTGTTGGATTGCTGTTAAAAAAAAATCCAGACAATTCAATTGCCACAGGATAATCAGTGTTTCTGAGACAGGGACAGAGAGGCGCTTCTGAACGGTGGCTGCGGCGATGCTCGTCATTTCAGGATATTTTGTATTAGCCAATTGCAGCGGGATGTGTGGATGTAATGATTACCTGATAACGAGAGGGGAAGGGAGTGAAAAGTCAGAGGTGTCATCTAGCATCAAAATGATACAAAAAAAAAAAGTGTGTCTGTAGCCAATGAGACGTCTATGCACTGAGAGAACAGTGGTCCAAAACAAGCAGCCTGAACCCAAAATAAAAGCCCTCCCCCACACACGCACACACACGCACACACATACACACACACACTACTTCAAACCCATCTACAAACACTACCTCTACTTTGTACTCACACTCGCTCATGCACACACATTCACACACACACTCACACTGAGCTTGTAGTTGCTGAGCGCTTTTCAGATTCACATTGTCGAGAATGGCCTTTTATTTTTATTATTGAGAATCTGTTTTTCCGTTAAGGGTACAGCACACGAGCGTAGACTAGCTTCATAACGATCATTTTTGTTGTTGAGACTGCCAATCTTACTACTCCTCCTCATTCAGCTTGTCATGACAGCAGCGAGCCCACTTGTGCCAGATAGTCGCTGCGGTTCGCCACACAGGATGACAAAATTCATACTGTCGGAGGATATGCATCAATTTGTGTGAACCGTGATTGACAACGTGATACTTTTGAATCATGCTGGTGCTGTTTTGCTGATCCTAAGTTTGGCTATAAACGTAGTGGCAGAATCAGCAGGTGATTGAAGCGTGCGGTGGAGCTGCTGTTTAAGGTTTAAGGGGGTCAGGACAACAACAGGCTTGAAGTGTTTGTTTTTCTCACTGCCCTCCTGTAGAAGTGGTGTTTAATTGAACAGCTCAAAATTTAGTCTTTCAATTAGAGGGGAAAAAAATAAGTTGTTTGCCCCCCACAGATGAGATTCTGTCACTTCTGTAAATGTACGATTTACAAAAGCACTTGAACCAGTGATGCCATGGCAACATGACTGAGGCATCACCTTTCCAAATGTTTGTTTATTTGACCGGCATTAAATGTGCAACAAATGTAAAAATAGTTTTGACTCAAATCAGTTTCCTCGTAACATGTAGAGATTTTAACTGGAAGTAATTTCGAAAGAAAATGTTTGCCAACACTTTTTAAAAATACAGTCAGACGTTCGCGAAAGACTGCAAGCTTAAAAAGATGGCTGAGTGAGATGTGTTATTTCCCTTCATGAGCTCTTTCACTCCCTGCAGACACACTGGCAGCATGACTTCTCACTCTGTATTTTCACCACCATCACCGGCATGTGGGGCACCAAGCTTGTCTTGTTCAACAATCCATGAATGTGAATTGTCTAAAAGGAAAAAAAAAGAAGAAAAAAAAGGCTATTTTTTGCACATTTAAGTAGACACTGCCACAGAGTGCATCAAAATAAAGCTGAAAACTGAAAGTGTGCCGTGCTGTTCAGTATTGTGAGGAGCGTGATGAGAGCTGGTGCTGTGGAGAGTTCTGGCTGGATGTGTGTGGGAGGGTCTGCTAACGCGGGCATCACTTACCACACGTTGCTGTGCTTTTTTTTTTTTTTTATCTTTTCTTTTTTTCTTTTTCCTCCCAAGAAGTTCTCTTGCATATGTTGTATTTTTCCTCACTCACGCTGACAGAGGCATCACTGCAACGGCCCAGTAATCACTCGACGTGTGTGTGTACATGTGAATGCATCGAGCATTGGTGCGACTGTGTGTGTGTGTGTGTGTGTCTCTTTTGGTGGAGACTGGTGCCAAGCAGTTTTATTACGGGTCTCTCACAAAGGGATCACTCATGCTTTTGTTTGATTTTCCTCTTTTTTTTCTCTCTCTCTCTCCTCCTCCCTTATGTTTGATAAGCACTTTGAACCTTCTCATGTCTGTCAGAGGAGTGTGTAGCTGTACATAGCAATTTCCTGTAACAACAAGTGCTCCTTGTTCAGTCTGAATATTTTGTTTTGTTGGATTTACTTTAAAGAGCATTACATTGTTGTAGAATTAAAGGAAAAATAAACTAGGTAAACCTACTGTGTTGTTTTGCTAGCAGCGCCTGACGCTTGCTCTCACTGACACAAGCTGCTGAAAACAGACACACAAAGGAGAACACAGACACTTCAATCATGTTTAATGCATGTACTGGTATACATCTCTAAAAATCAAGAAAATCTTAAGTTACTGTCTAACATCAATGTCTACTTATCGAATGCAAATTCAAGTGAATACATGACAGAAAAGAACAACCAAGAGAAAGAATCAAGATCGAAAAGCGACGAGTGCTGCTCTAAGTAAGTCATGCTCACTGATGTGACAAATGGAGGTGGTCTCACTGCCTCTAAAGAAACAATACTAAAGTGACAACCCCTGACAGTTACTAGACTTCATATCACTGCACAGAAACAGGACATCTGTACCATAATCAGCAGCAGCGGACTAAGAGCAAGCTGAGGCGGTGTCAGCCAGCCTGACTGCACGACGTCCGGCATCAGAGGCAGAGCTGCGTGTTTCTTTATCTTAGATTTGCAAAAAAACAACACAAGGAACACTTGGAGCAAAACATTGCTTAATAATTGTTTTACAAAGTATGGCCGGACGACGACGGTCAATAAAGCAATCATATGCAATTATATATCAAAGGCTATTTAGTCAGGAGGACCATACATTTGATCCAAAGAAAGAAGACTGGTCATGTAACAAGAACGAGTTTTTAACTCCTGTTCAAATCCAATCTCATGTGCAAAGTGTTGCCTCCCCCTTTCTCTTCATGATTTACTTGAGTAATTAAATGCTGGTTTGATTCTCTGAACAGAGAAGAAACCAAACACGATGCTTCAGGTTCTAACGAAAGGTTGATACTGTATTTCTTCACCAGCGACATCATTAATCTCCCTGCAACATCTTTAGAAACTCATTTTTAAAAAAAATAGACATGGCTTCACCAGCCGACTATTCCCTTTTATCTATAAAAACTCAGACGGCAATATTTACAACTTTGAGTATTTATTAGAAAGTAGATTCTCTTCACGTGTAGTTCAGCGTCGGCTCCCTGCCACCAAATCTACTGCAGGGTAACTCTCATGAAAGCACGAGTCAGAAAAGAGGATTGTCACAGGAGACGTCTCCCATTGCAGGTTAGTGTGTTGGACGAGGGACTGAGACTGCTCTATGTACAGGCGATAGGGCTGACGGTCAGCCTGAGTGATGTGTGGCTGCGTGTGTTTGTGTGCTTGCACTGAGAGTGAAGTAAGGGTTTTCCACGGGTTCTCTTCAGCCTCCAGTCAGGAGCAGAGCGGCTGGATTCACACCGACGACTGATCCCACACCTGCAAGTCAAGAACACGGACAAAGGAAAAACATTTTCTTCAATTCAGTCTGACATCCATGTTGACCGTAAAGTCAAAATACAGAAGAACCAGTTTCACTTCAGCAGCTGGAGAATATCTTAAACGAGGAGAGAATAAATGTTGTTGTGACACTTGAAAAGGCGAAATGATATCCTCAAACAGGAGTGCATTGTAGGTTTACAGGAGTAATTAGTGCTCTCGGGGACAATTTCCAGGGTGGATAAATACACCTTTGGTCTGATAAGTATTTACAGCAGCAGGACAGTGTGTGTGTGTTGTAGACAAATAACCTGCAATATATGTGTTGATTGTGAAGCCTGAACAGCTTAATGGGACTTCAAGTGTTTCGTGTACTGCAAAAGTAGAGGATTAAAATGTATGCATCGGGTTACAGCAACAGGATAAATAGTATTTATTCATGGCAAGAAATAAAAAATCCATCCATCCATCCATTGTCTATACACTGCTTAATCCTCACAAGGGTTGCAGGGAGCTGGAGTCTATCCCAGCTGACTTAAGGCGAAGGCAGGGGACACCCTGGACAAGTTACTAGTCTAACGCAGGGCTACACTTAGAGACAGACAACCAAGCACACTCACATTCACACCTACGGACAATTTAGAATCACCAATGAACCTCAACATGTTTTTGGACTTGTATGAGGGAGTCGGAGAACCCAGAGAGAACCCACGCTGCACGGGGAGAACATGCAAACTCCACTCACAAGGACACAAACCGGCGACCTTCTAGCTGCGAGGCAACGGTGCTAACACCAAGTCACCTTGCAGCCCCAACAAATAAAAAATAAATCTCCCAAATTATCATTTAAAGAAATGATTTTACAGAACTCTGAAGAAGCGTGCTGGTCGCTTTGACAGACTACGTTCTCTGTGTCAAATATAGTTAGAGGAAGAAGTAAAGATAAAGATCCTGGATGTTTGTAATGTGAGGGATAACGAATTAACTGTTACAATAAATCGAGCAAAAGGGGATCTTCCACCTCTCTAATGGAATAATTATAGATCATTTACTTAACTAAAAGTACCAATGCAGTAACTTAAATACACTCCATTACAAGAAAAAGGCCTGGTTTGGTTCATCTAACTGATATATATATATATATATATATACATATATAATAAAGCATCAGAGCAGCAGCAGCAGGTTACTGTTGGAGCTACTGCAGGTTGAAACTACTTTATATCCTGTTTTACATGAAGGAACAGCAGATCAATCTTGAACAATGTGTTGTATTTTAAAATCTTAGACGACATTATCCATTGTGTCAAACCTTCATCTTGGAAATAACTAAGGCTGTCAGATAAATGAAGTAGAATGGAAGTATGAAGTAGCATTAAATGGAAATTCTAAAGCCGTGAACTAGTGAAGTTCAAGTATTTACTTCAGTTCTTTACTAAGTACAGTACTTCAATAGAAGTATTTAGTTACTTTTCATCGTTGCAGCAGGGAAACGGACAGCTTTGTATTAATGGCTGATGAAACATGAAGAACACGAGCCCTGTTTGTCTCAATATTTACAGGAATACCTTAATGCCAGTAATGAAGGAGTGAGAGCTGATTAGAGTTATTAGAGATTAGCTGATAAGAAAGAAGAAGCAGAAACATTACAGCTCCTCATTGTATCGTGTGCATCGCCTTTTCTTACCTTGTTAACGGGGGCGAGCTGTGTTCGGACAGACCCAGCATGGAGTCGGGTACTGTCCCCAAATCTCCCAGGAGACCTCTCCCTGCGACTGTCCAGCACCCTGCCGGGTGACTTCTCTCTGTCCAGGGGTCGAGCGGGAGACTTGTCTCTTCTGAACTCTGTGCGGCCCTCCCGGTAACGATGTGGGGTGCTCGGCTCCCGGTGCAGACCGTCATGGCTGCCGGGGCCAGAGGTCAAACGCTTGGTGATGTGCTCAGTGTAAGTGGGCGGGCCTCTCTTACTGGGACTACTGTAGAGACGACAGCAGAGCAGCTTCCATCAGCGTCTTACAGTGTGATCAGGAAAATCAACTCTTTCACAGGGGAGGTAGGTTTTATATCTTTACAGCAGATGGCACTGTTCGTCTTAAAGAAAATAGCTGAACCTGGTGGTTTAAATTTCCACCCGTGAATCTGAGCAGATAGTTTAAATGTACAAGTGTTTTTTAGCTGATTTATTGTGTAAGTGTTTGTATGTATGTTCCAATCTCTCCAACACGGTATAGTTTAAATTCTGCTCTTTCTTTTGCTGTTTTTTTGCACAAGCACAACAGAGCGAGCTGACCCTCGGCTGGAGCCGGTCCTCTGCAGCTCTCCGGACTCTCTGATCAGACTTCCCTTACAGCAGATGACCCGTAGTTTGTTCTGGTAGGAGGAGGCCAGGTAAATGGCCCCTGAGGAGATGGCTGGGCCCAGGTACCGAGGGTTTGGGATGTCTAGGTGTGCCAGCACTGTGGGACTGGAAGCAGGGACAATGATGTGGAAAATACAGCAAGCGAACAAAATTGGGGTGTTAAAATGTGACACAAGGTGCTCGGTCTGTCTCACCCCAGAGCAGCGTGTCCCTGAACCTCGATAACATCCAGCGAGTTGAAGTAGGTCACGAACAAGTAGGGCTCTCTGTAGGCTACACCACAGGACAGAATTATAATAATATATATTAGAGTTTCACTTATAGAGACATTTAAAAGAACAAGTAACAAAGTACTTTAAAAATACACCAAAGCAAAAACAGAACTATCATCATTTCATCTATTTATCTATATCAAGCAGCAAAAAGCAAAAAGAATTATATTTAATGAAATGGCAGGCGAGCGCCTTACCTCGCCCCACAGGTGTGGGTGTGAATAGGTAAATAAAAAACACAGTAAAGCACTCTGGAGCCAAACATTTTATAGGTGAGGAGGATTTACCAAAAGACAGAGGCAGGCGGCTCCACTTGATTTCCTCAGTGCGGCTCCTTCGCCCGTACGTGTCCACAAACACTCCAAACTCTGTCAGACAGAAACAGCTCTTATTACACACCCTTTGTCATAGACGTACAGAAACACTGTGTAGCCACAGGATAGGACAGGAGGAGTCTAGTGTGCAGACAACACTACTGGAGACACAGCGCCAATGCAGAGGAAGTTACCCACCTTTACAAAACAGATTTATATGACCTGAATCAACAGTACACATCATAGTCACAACTATGATGCTGGTGCAGTTACATACATATATAATACATATACATCTTTACTGGTCTTTATCTGCCTCACTGTGATAGGTTTAAACTTAGATATCCTTTCATCCACAGCCGCACTGTGCAGCAAATCATCAACTCCCACTGTAAACACAAGACCGACGCTGTGTGTAGAGCTCACCATGAAAACACAGAAGGTACTCCTCCTTCTGCATACTGCTGGCAACCTGCATGATTGCGATGGGGAAACTGTGAGAGGAGGCTGCAAACACTGCAGAGGCCAGTGACACATCGTTCTTGTCCAAGAATTCTGCAGTGGACGGAGCAGAGGACTGAAGTTAAACACTGTTTGCCTTTTTCTGAGCACAGTGGTCCAGCAGAGACGATCCTGGGGTTGAGTAAGTTACAACAATACTGTCCTGGTACCTGACAGTCTAGTAAAAGAAAAAAGAACATCCTTACCCTCAAGTACAAACTGCTTCATTTCAATCTCGTAGAATTTGTTGGTGCCGATGATAATGCTGTAGCTGGTCAGATGGATGCAGCTGCACGGCTCCAGAGTTTCAATTTCCTGTGAGAAAACGGATTTGGAGATGAGTAAGAGACGATGCTTGCTCCTATTTAAGTATGGCACATTTGGCACAAGGTGCCTTTATGATAACAAAGTGCCTCCACTTTGAAATCTGTTATTTCCTTCATGTGGGAGAAGCATTACAGCATAGCCATGCATTACTGTCACTTCTTCACCAGGAAGGAAACACAGCTGATAGAACCTCAGTCAGTCAGCTCTGCTGTACAGAGCAAAGAGGGATGCACCACTCTTCTTATTTTATATTTCACACAACCTTAGCTTCAAGATACAAATTTCCCGGGTTTTCATATTATCTTCAGCCCTTTTGACTTGATCACATCTCTGTCTTTACTACATAATGTTCCCCCTGCAGTATAGTGTGTATTCTACCTTCCAGTGTATGTGAAGCCCTTTTTCCAAATGGAATACATGTAAAGTGACAGCATGTGGTCTTTCTGACACAAGTCCCTTTAACATTATTGTTTTTCATGCCATATCTATAATATCTGTAATATATCAAGTGACTTATAATGCATAATGGTGCACTAATAAAGTAAAGACTAAAAGGTTGCTTTATGAACCATAAAATAAAAATATCCCCACAGCTGTGTTGGAGCTCAGGACTCAGCTGTATCAAAACATTTACTGGAGCTTACAAACTTTGTGACAGCTCACCTGTCTGATGTGCAGAGAAGTACAAAAGACGAGCTGTTAGATCCTGATTGATCCTGTCTGCATGTCTTTGATAACTTATGAGTCTTAGTAATGAATGAAGGTAGTTGTCCCACATTCACAAATGTGCACAGTTCTCTCTCTTTGTAAGCTCTCATGTGGATCCTGCTGCTGTCTGATGCTTCAGGTATTTAATAAACTTAGAGAAAAGACTGCTACAAACAGCTGGAAGCAACAAGCTAAACTTCAGCTCCTGTTAACAGTTTGTTAAAACCTAGATTGCGTTTATTATTGGTTTGTGTTAGTGGCAGTAAAGTTTTATCTTTATGGACATTCATTATAGACAATGCTATTTGTGAGTGTCTGTCCGTTAATTTGGCTTTATGGTACTGTGTTGAAACTTTTACAGAAAAGTGAGCAGGACTTCTTTCAGCCATGAATCCGATACTTCAGGCACATGTCTGAAAGGTCCTTTCGACTGGAGTGTCTTATGGACAAATTGCACTAACAGCTCATACTCACCTTACGAATGCAATATTTGTTGAGATTGTCATTGTAGCGCAGAATGGTTATTTTGTTTGGCATTGCAGCACATATACAAGGCCCATTGTCGATCTGTAAAGAGAACACACATGTCCATTTTTTTAAGTCAGTTTGCACAATCACAAGACAATGTTCCACCAACACACAGTCTGTCTTATCTGAAGGTTCACAGAGGTGAGGAAAACCTACTCTTCCAGCAGCGAACAGATGGCAACCTTTCACTGTCTCAAAGATGTAGGGAGCCAGTTCAGACTGGCTGGGCAGGTGGGACTGAGCCAGAGACTGCTTCACCCTCTTAATCTCCACCAGACACAGCGCTCTCTCATCTCCTGCAGCACAAACAGACAGACAATACACACAACAAAGATGTTTCACAACAAAGACTTTATTCACTTTTAAGTCATCATACTGTCCAGTATAACACGATGTAATATATTTACAAGTTTCAAAGCTATCAGAATGGCCCGTGTGGGGCCTTTCAGAGTTTTAATGATGCATAATAATTGCAGAGCCTAAATTATGGCAATTATTTGTAATAGCAGCTTGTTATGGCAGAAGATGCTAGTCTTTTGATATATGAACATACTGACTTCCTGAATTGACTGAACTAGGTTCAAATCCTGCTGCTCAGTGGATATTTCTAATCTGTTAAAAATGACAAAGCCAGACATCTCACCAACAATCATCAGCAGTTTCTCCTGCTCTTTAATGATGTGGATCTGAAAGACTGACCCGAGGCCAGGGATATGAGTCAGGGAGTTCTTGATAACATTGAGTGCATACAGTCCCTCTTCAGAGCCCACCAGAACAATCTGCAGCACAGCCATGAAACACAACAAACCATAATTATTCAGGCGAACATGGTGACATTTCAAACAGGAGCAACATGAGGCGAACCTTGGCAGTGAGCCCCGAGCATCTGCTCTGTGCTCCATGTCCCTTCATAAATTTTGATCATTCTACTTTTGACTATAACTGCTTCTGTGGCTGGAGGTGTTCTCTAAATGCTTGACGTGTACAATTAAAAAATAGTCATCTACACCGGTACCTGATCTGTGAGAGGAAGAGTGCAATTAATATCCAGCCTATCGTCTCCCTCCAGTTTCAGGAGAGAGTTTCCTAGCAGCTTCTGAAAGAGCAGAGAGAAACGAGGGTCAGCTGGATCACAAGCTTACCAGGACATCGGGGAGAGGCAGCAGAGGAGAAGGACGGAGGGGACTGGACAGCTGCAGGACTGGGTGCAGGTTCACAGTGTCAGAGGTGGGACCAAGTCACAAGTCAACTTCAAGTCAGTTCAAGTCACAAGTACAAAGAAATTCCAGTCATAATCATTACTCCTTGAATCCTAAGCGCTTCAATAGAAGTCAAGTGGACCTCTCACACCTTGAGGCATGTGAGTCTTGATTTAAAGGACCACGTAATTTTGGGGTGATAATAAATACATTAGACTCCCCACCAATCAGTGAGAACTTAAGAAGCCTCTTGGATGATAGATGAAGCGTCTTAAAAAAAAACAAAATAGTCCAGTTGACCTCTACTGAAGCACATGATCTGGACAACTGAAAATCTACACAGACATGTGAGCCCCTTAACCAAACCAATTTTTTTTAAAAATTCTGATGGTCTACTAAAGGGAAGTAAAGGTATGCTTTTAACAATTTAATAAGAGTTTTTTCATCATTAAAGCCCCTTTACACCTTTTTGGCGTAGTGATTTTCATCATTGTGTTCATTGAGTGCTACCGATGAAAAGTCTACCATAACCAGTGCTGCCACCAACCTTCAGGGGTTAACTGAAAGCAGCTGAAAAGTCCTGCACAGAAAGCCACAATGCACCCCAGGGATTGTTTTTGGCCCAACATGCTTTCACCGGAGATGTCAGGTTGAGTGAGCTACAACAAATGTTTCAACCAGAAGTCGTTCTAATACACGCCACAGTCACCTCTAGATCCTTTAAACTTTAACTTAACTTTATGTCACTCTGCATGTAAAGTCAAGTGACTTGAATCCCAGTCTCAGAAGAGTGTGCAGAGGGGGCAGCGGGGCAAAAACACAGACGAGTACACGAGCAGGTAAAACCCTGCTGTCTGATCCCTGGTCCTCTAGGCAGGACAGCTGCAGAGGATCAAGCCAAAGATGATCAGACATCTTGGTGAGAATTTGTGTACTGGGATTATATAATAGGACACCAAAAGACATAATATTTCAGCAACATTCAAACTATTTCATCAACACAGAGTTTGTACAGGATGTAGCAGAGAATAGTGAAAGTGAGGAGTGGTCACAGCAGGTGAGGTGAGAGCAAAGGGGGAAGATGACCAACTAACACAATGACAAACACATGCACTACTGCGTGCCTCATTAAGGATGTGCAGTTTGTGTGTATGTGTGTGTCAGCATGTCTTGTGTCTATATGTTTGTAACTGTTTACCTGGACCAGAGGAGACAGAACCATTTGTCTTTTGGACACAGCAGCCTATGTGTGCAATGAAACCCAATGGAATTGGCAAAACAGAGCAAATCAACAAAACATGCCCATATACCGGACATACAATGTGGCATGATGAAAATGCAACAAACAGGGGTGAGAATGACAAAGAGAGAGGAGAGAAAGAGAAGAGGAGAGAAGAAGGGGACAATTAACGACACATAAAAGTGAAACCGGGGGTTATTCATTAAACTTTAAATCTAAAACCTATGACTTTAACATGACTACAGAGGGTTAATCTACTCCTCATGAATAGCCCCCACACAGTTGAACATCAAGTTTACGACCGCAGTCATAGACACGACTGTAATCTGTGACCGCGGTCGTAACGGTTTATGATTTGAGTCAGCAGACATTAAGGATGCAAAAAGCCAGTGGCGGCAGTGGCCTCTCGCCTGCTCCTGAGATACTCACTGCGTCAGCCTCTGCCTTCTCCCGTGAGGCTCGACCTCCAGCCACCACAGACTCCATCACAGCCACCCAGCGCTGCTTGTCTGGGAAACTGGGAGCCATGAAGTAAATAGACTGGCCAGGCCAGCAGGGGGTGTGACAACGGGACTCCAGCTTCAGGACGTAGGGAACATCTGACACAAAGGGAAGATAAAGGAAATTTGATGTTCTGTCTTGTTTGAATGATATGACATTTTTAAAGAAATATAAAATATGACAGCGAGGTCTTGTTCAAACAGAGCAAAATCTTTTAACAGCACTTAGAAGCAAAGTCTGACAGAAATGTACAAACTGTGGTAGGGAAAAATGTCAAGTTTTTAAGTGTGCAAATCAATATTAGGGAAGTGATTGTATCACTTGATAACTAATAAATACCTGACTTGGCGGTGTTTGGCAGCTCAGATGCTCCAACTGCTCCATGAACCATCACCTCTCCATCTGACAGACACAGTTCATACTCCTCCAGTGGCTTCACTGAGTCTGAGGAACATTAACAGACAAAGACATTGCTGACTAATGGTAGTATTTGGAAAGTCTAGTAAAATCAGGAATTCTGAGTTCCTAATTATTTTCCAGACAAATGAAAATGGAACCTTCTCTGGGCTCTATCTCATAGATGGACACTTTTGTCCCATCCAGGACCACGTATTTTCTCTCCCAGCCCTGGCCTCGTTTCCCATTCCTGCAAACACACATGAACACTGTGAAGCACTGAGGATGAAATGGAACTGTTTTTGCAGAAAATTCTACATATGCCTGTTTGAACTGGTTTAAACATCAAATTTTGCAGAACATCATAGAAGGTCTATAAGGGGTTGTAGCTGGTGCCATCAGTCTATCTGACCAGTGGGAAGAAACAGGGAGGGAGCACAAGAGCACAAGACCTATATAAGAGGTGTGAACAACAGGACAGGTAGGGTGCTTTCACAAGTACTCTAGTGCTTTGTTTTGGAGCATATGATCCAAACTCTTTTAACACTCATTCATCCATTCAGTGGCTCTTTGGCTCTGAAAGGAAGCATCTGAAAATTTGTCCACGTACCTAGCAAATTTTCTTTTTGCATTTTTAAAAAATGTATTACCCACCTGTGTGTGTAAATCAGACATGCCATGCCAAGATGCATGTGCAAAAGCTCTTTTGGCAGGACATGATTAGGACCCAGATTAGTTTCACTGGTGTACAATAATGCCAGAAATGCACTGTGCCAGTGTGTCCATTGCTAACCTGGGCTGTTTCATCCAGCCCTCCAGGTGCATGTGTCCGCCGGCCTCTTTGAGCTGTTGGCCTGAGGAGCTGCCTTTGTCTCGACACAGGCCCTCTGACAGATGTAGGGAGCAGTCACTGGACATGCCGCATGTAGCTGGAAGGCAGGGGGAGCATTTTGGGTGGCACAAAGCGTGACATTCTGCGGAGAAAAAACATTGTTATAGAGAGACCAATGCCACACGAGGTTTTGGCTCCGCTCCTCACCTGTTTATGACATCACCAGTCCAAAAAGAAGGGGAATCTCTTAGCAAAGATGTCAACATTGTCAGTTTAAAGAACATGTACAGTAGGTACAGTGCCTATAAAAAATATTCACCCCCTTGGAAGTTTTCCCTTTTTATTAATAAGACTTTAAAACTTCATAAAGAATCTGATTTCTACAAAGCAGTGACTGTAGTATAAAGACATGTGTCTGACTTTGCATCCAACAACTGTTGCCTGTTCTTCACCATTCAGAGCTTTATGGGAGAGTGTCAAAGAGAAAGCCACTGTTGAAAAAAGCTCCTTAAATGTAGGCCTTTTGGCAAGAAGGCATGTGGAAGACTCTGAAGTCTGAAGTCATCAGACTGAACACTATGTTTGGCAGACACCAAACACTGAACATCATCTCAAACATACCATTCCCAGTGTAAAGCATGGTGGTGGCAACATCATGGTATGCTTCTTGACAGCAGGCCTGGGGAGGCTTGTAAAGGTAGAGGGTAAAATGAATGCAGCAAAGTATTGGGAAATCCTGGTGAACAACCTGATGTAGTCTGCGAGAGAATTGCGACTTGGTAGAAGATTTGTTTTCCAGCAAGACAATAACCCTAAAGCATACAGCTACAGCTGCACATAAATGGTTTAAAGACAACTAGGTGAACATTCGAATGACCAGCTTTTCAATCTGACTGAGAATTTGTGACTGGACTAGGGCTGTTCATCTATGATCCTTGTATAACCTGACAGAGCTGAGCAGCTTAGCAAAGAGGAATGGGGTTAAAACTGCAGACTCAATGTGTAATTGTGACCAAAGGTGTATCTACTAAATACTGACTTGAAAGGGTGAAAACTTGTGTAATCATTAATTTTATGTTGTACATTTTTAATTAATTGACATTATTTTGAAATCTGCCTTCCCTGTGACAAGTAAGAGTGTTTTTTGTTCAATTCCCAGCCTGGGATCTTTCTGTGTAGAGTTTGCATGTTCTCCCCGTGCAGCGTTGGTTCTCACCAGGTTCCCTGGCTTCCTCCCACATTCCAAAAACATGCTGAGCTTAACTGGTGATTCCAAATTGTCCGTAGGTGTGAATGTGAGTGTGCTTGTCTGTCTCCAAGTGTAGCCCTGTGATAGACTGGTGACCTGTCCAGGGTGTCCCCTGCCTTCACCCTAAGTCAGCTGGGATAGACTCCCGCCCCTCCGCAACACTACAGAAGATTAAGTGGTGTATAGAAAATGGATGATTGAATGATTCAATGTTGAAAAGTGATAAAAGGCAAAACGTCTGGGGGTGGGGGTGAATACTTTTTATAGGCACGCTATTTCAGTCCAGCATGGTCACATCAGTACAAAAACTGACTTGTCCTGGTGTAAGAGTGACTAAAGGGATTCATAACTAACCTGTGTTTAGTGCTCAACAGTTGTTAACATCATAAAACCATTAATGCAAAAAAATTAAAAACTATTGTTTTTCTAAAAATATTGTGTAATCAGTTGTCTCATGAATAAAGATTTAAAGATGAAATATTAAATAAGACATTTTTTATATGCTTCTTGCTGTTTTCCAAAAACAGAAAAATGTTATGTGATAAAAAGGTTAGACAGAACCAATGGGAGTTAAAAGCAACTGCAGCAGCCATTGCCATGTTCTCACACATCCTAATGGCAGATTTATCATCCATAATAAAATGTTCATTTTATAACAGAGACAAATATAACAAAATGACATGAAACAAAGGCAAACATTTAAATTTTGCTGTTTTTAAAGCAGCAAAAAAATTAAATAAAGCTAACTATTATCAGTTTACATGACGTAATATGGATCATTGGGTTTCTGTCTGTCCTCGTGAACACATCTGTAACTCACCAAGACAGGTAGCTGCTTGGCGACCAAAGTGCACAGTATCCAGGCACACAGTACACTTGGCAGCTCTCATGTTGAGTCCCACTGTGAAGCGGTGAGGGGTGTTGTGGTGAACCACCCTCTCTCTCTCCCTCTCTCTGTCTCTCTGACTGTCCTTCAAACGACGGCTATACTCTGAATACAGTCAGGGAACACAGTGAGGGCAGGCAGCTCCAAGTATGTCTTACTCTGTCAGGTACATCTATCACTTCAAAACCTCAGTGCATCATGCCATAGCATCTATGAAATCAGTTTAACAAAAAAGGTTTTCAAAAGAACTGTAGGATGTTTAGAAAAAATGCATATGCAAGTAAACTCTGAAGACGAAAATGCTTGAAAAAATATTGATTTGATCAATCCCTTTGCTTGTGCCCACTCACTGCTGCATTTTAAAGGCATTATCCAGTCAGTACGAAGTCGCTCTATTGTGTAACCAGCATTCGTTGTTTGCAAGTCTACTAGAAATGCACAGATATGGAATTTCAGGGCTGATAATAATGTGAAGAGGAAAAGCAATATCATATGTTTACATTGGGGCAAACTTTGTTTTTCCAATACAACACCAATCTTTCGATAGCCTTTTACATCCCAAGGACCTATTTGTAAAAACCTAAGCTTATTTTCTCAATATGTAGAATAGTTAGTACCAGACCTTGTCTACTCACTTATAGACATACATAAACTTTAAAATCGTCAGATTAACTTCTCATACCATTTGACCATTAGTGATAAAGCCTTGGACTCCATAGTTCAGACGTCTGTTTTAATTTGTTGATTCTGCTGAACCTTGGTGCAACTTTGATCCGGTTTAATATTTCATACCTGCTTGTTATTCCACCAGCGGTCGTAACAAATACTGTTCATAAATGGTAGCTTGTGATATGAAATTAAATTAAAACATCAAAAACCTGGGAAAGGAGGCCAATTAGGTTTTGATTACAGTATGCAGGAATGCATGATATTCAATTTTTGCCAATATAATTTTGTCAATAAATTCACATATTTTTTTCCACCTAACAACTTAAGTTGCAGAGGACCTAAGGGCTCTCTTTGGAGTTAACATATTATTATACCTACTCCTACTATTGTGATAGTCCACTGGCAGGTGCAGCCATAAAATGAAATGCTTTTCAAATGTGCAAATTCACTGGACACAACAAGAAAACTATTTCAACTACTTTTAGCCTGACAGGCATTATAATTGTCCATTCTGGGCTGATATCTTATCTTAAAGTCCAACTAAGCTCATAGATTTAACATGTAAAAAAACACATCACTGTATATTAAAGTTACATATTCAAAAGTTTTTTTTTTCATGAAATAATCCCTTCCTGCCTTAAAATGGCTTAGATGTAACTCTACACTGTACAAACTGAAAGGATTGGCTCCATAGATTTGTTACGTGTGGAATCCAGAAAGTCTGAATCATTGTTATTGAGACTGTCATCAGTACACTGCAGTTTCAAGGTAGAAATACTCAGTCATGGACTGCTTACTGTGCTCATAATGTGTCTTCCACTATATAAAAAATCCCCGTGGAAATGTCAACAAGGTAAAAAACTTAGAGCCATTATTGGCCATTACCAATGATGATGTTGATACCATCATGTATCCCCAATATTAAATCCTTGTCATCATAAACTTGAGTAAAATATAAAGCCCGTTTGTTTTCCCCATGTCCTCTCAGTTGCTATTTGCTCTTTGTGTATGGGGGAGGAGGGGTCAGTCTCTTCAGCCTCGCCCTCAAGTAAATAGGCAACGACACAGACAGCACAGAGATAGACAGAGAGGCAAAATCCTTCCCAACAAATATTCACACTCTGCAGCCAAACTACAGATCATCCAGTCAAATACCAGAGCATTTTTTAAATTCTTTTACTTAATGCCCAATAACCTATCAGGCACAGACACATTGTTGATCACAAAAGTCGAAACACCACAGCATTTGCTAAACAACATTGGTGTCTTGAGGATTTGTTGACAACATAGGCTAAATTTAGAGATCATGTTTAAACCCTTCACACGTACACAAAGTTTTGCTTGTAGTCAATAATCGAAACATGTCTCTGATTGAAAAAAACATTACAACAAATAACCCAGATTGGCAAAGTCCTATCCATAAATTATATACATTAGTTTCCTGAGTGTGTTGATGTTAGTAACATGTGTTAGACAATTGCAATAATTACACTGTGTTGCATTCATGGATTTATGTTTACTTTACATTTTGTATTCTGTTATTATTGCCCTGTTTTGTTCGCTATTTTTTGTATTCACTAGTTTTTGTATTTCATAATTTCTGTTGCTGTCACATGTACCTGATTTCTTCAGGGAAAAAAAAAATCAACATCAGGTTACATGACATGTGATTAAGATAATAAGCATCCAGTTTTCCTTTTGTGGTTGTAACCTTGACTGTTTTGTCACAAGGAATACAATGACTGGATAATACCTTTTTTTGACAGTGAGGGTTTAAAAGGTCACACAGCGTTTTGTGCATTGCAGAGTTTATTATACGGTGCATCTCTGTGTATGATGTAAAGTTCAGGTGGGATAGTGGAACAGAGCAGGGTTCTGCAAATCAGATTGACAAAGCTTCAGCAACCAAGGTAAAATGCTTCAGATTTCTAAAGCTTTGCACTGAAGATTTTCTAGCCTCACCTGACAAACCTGGTGGGATCTGACATTATAAAAGTGCAGAGCTTTTAAAATCTGGCCTGTCAAGGATGTGGATGGGGAAAAAGGAGAAGAGAGATAAGAGACCAAACTGCAGAAACCATGAGTTTCTGCATGGACAACTTACTTTCAAAAGTGACCCTCCTTCTCTCTGAAAGGTGTGTGAAAAAAAAGGATAGTAAGAGCTTCATAAATTATCCTTTGAATGTGAGATAATGTGTGTGTGTGTGTGTGTGCTTATGTGTGCAGGTAAGGGGCAGTATGTGTCAGGTATGAAGCTGTAATCCTGCATTTATGTGTCCAGTGGACAAAAACAGTTGCACTACTGTAAACATCATCCTTCACTCACCCTCAGGGGTTGGAGTATCCTTCCTTCGTCCAGAGTTGGAGGGTGCCAGGCTAGTTGGGCCCTGCTGGTGCTCAGGAGACTTCACCATGGCAGACATGATTATCTGCTGCCGTGCTGTGGCTGGATTTGTTGAACTGCCATGATCCTTATACTGGAGAGCTGAGTTTCAAATAATTGATTAACTGAACTTATATTATTTTCTTTTTTATGTCTATGTGAAGATAATGTTAGTAGTATGTTATCGCTCAACAATAAATGAACTGCAAACTTAGTTTGCACAATTACCATGTGAATGAAACAGAAAACAAGCTTCATAAATACACTGAGAACATCCATTTCCATAGAATGCTGGTTTGAGTTTCTTGCCAGACAAGGTGTAGCCCATGCTGTAGATCACAGAGTGCATATGAGAGTAGGATAGTCTCACCTTCTTCTCTCAGAGATCGCAGCTCTGCTCTCATTTTCTGCAAAGCATCTTCCAACTCAGAGCAACGAGCACGCTCTTTGTCCAAAGCTGCCTTCATGTCGCTGTACTGCAGCGGCACCGGCTGGATGGGGGGCACAGGGGAAACCTGGCCTTGACTCTGACTCTGACCCTGAGCCTGAGCAGCCATGGCAGCCAACAGGTCCTCCCGACGGCGTCCAAACAGACCCTGAGAGAACAACCACAAGAAAACAACATGAGCCCAGAAATACAAAAATGGTAGATTTTATCTAATGTTTTTGCTCAGAGAAAGTATTTGTAAACACTCAGACCTTCAGTAAATTCATCCTTCTGCTATCTCTGGTATCCAGGCAGTCATTCATTTACTTCAGCACAACAACAGCATACCTGAAGATGTTTTACAGCAGCTGTGTGTTATGATTAACAGAACCGTGAAATAGTGTCTGTGCGAATCGTAGTCCACCAAAGAGCATTACAGTGTCAGCCCCAGACATCAGATATTTTTAGTTCCCTGCATGATCAGATTTTTATCCCACTATTTTTTTTAACAGTCTTCTGAGCTCTTCCTTAGTTTTCTGACGTAGCCACTCTGATGTAAGTGGAAAACAATCATCTCACTCAACAGACACATTCATTCATTCAACTCTTGCACAGTCTTCAATGTCAAAACTTTCAAAAAGTAACAAACTGCGAGATTATTTTTTCCAAGGCAGCCCGGTTTAGGAACAACACATTATTAATTATTCAAATTCAATATATTTTTCAATCTAACCTTTTTCTTCTTGGAGCCACCATGGGCCTGGGCCTGGAGGAAATCTATGAGCTTGGTCTGCTGGGTGATGGTCCCCTCCATTTTCACCTTCTCATGAGAGTATACAGCCTGCAGGTGGAGCTACAGAACATCACTACTGCCATGAATTTCTCCTCAACTACTTCACTTCACACAGAGAGGGTGACAGAGAGACATAGAAGGGGTGGGAGTGGGGGGTTATGTATCCTTTTATGTGGCTCATAACAGTGGGGGAAGAAACAAGACTGGAAATGATACAAAGATTTACTCCCAGTCCAGCAAGTGTACATATGCCTGCAGCGACTGGGAACTTATCCTTCTTATAATCTGTGTGTATATGTACTTTTCCTTCTCTTCTATACATTGCAAATGTGTATATGTGGGTGTAAATGTCTGTGTAGCAGCACCTGGATTTTCTCAAGCTGAAATTCCAGATCAGTCCTCTCAGTTTTCAGCAGGTCAGTCTGGTCCAAAGCGTCCTGCAGTCCCTGGGTCAGACGGAATATATGTGTCTTCTGGGCATCCATCTGCTGCTGCAGCTTCTCTTGCTGTGGACGAAAAGCAGCTGTTATATCACTGTCTGGATGCTGTGACTTTGCCACTTACGCTTCTTAGAACTGATTGTTTTCAGTGATAATATCAGCTAAGCCTTTCAGCATGGTTTGACATTTGTCTCTGCTATGACTTCTCAGACACAAAATCAAGTTTATTTTTATATTCTGATCATTTAACAAACAAAGAAACAAGGAACAAAAAAAGCTCCATCCATCCATTATCTATACACTGCTTAATCCTCACTAGGGTCGTGGGGGGCTGAAGCCTATCCCAGCTGATTTAGGGTGAAGGCAGGGGACACCCTGGACAGGTCACCAGTCTATCACAGGGCTACACTTAGAGACACACAACCAAGCACACTCATATTCACACCTATGGACAATTTAGAATCACCAATTAATCTCAACATGTTTTTGGACTGTGGGAGGAAGCTGGAGACCCCAGAGAGAACCCACGCTGCATGGGGAGAACATGCAAACTCCAGAAAGAGCCCGGGCGTCCTAACCAGGACGCGAACCGGGGATCTTCTAGCTGCGAGGCGACAGTGTTGACCACCAAGCCACCTTGCAGCCCACAAAGAAAGCCAAGACACCTCAAATTTGTACATAAAGCATAAAAGTAAACAGTAGAAATCTGTGGGACACATATGTGAAAACACTGTACCTCTTCCAGCAGTCTCTGCTTCAGATCCCTCTCACTTTCCAGCTTTTGCTGCAAACTGCGGGCGTTCATCTCCAGCATGGCATGCTTCTTCTCGAGATCATTCAACTGAGGAATGAAAGCAGGGAGAGTTTTCTGTAACATCTGCTCACCAGACAAAAGCAAAATACCTATTCAACAGTGTGAAAATGCTTACAGTGTCTGCAAGGCTCTCAGCTTTAAGCTTCTGGTCTTTGAGGGCCTGCTGCAGGGCCAGGATCTCAGCTTTGTGCTCCTTAACCGCCTGTTCCACCGCCTGGCGAGACTCAGAGCTGCGCTGCTCTGCACGAAGCCTAGAGCAGGCAGAAAAGCTTTGTTTACACTTGTTATTTTGACCCTTTAAGTGCATACTACGGTTGTCTACAGGCTCTACATGATGTAGTTGTTATTTGAATCAAAATAAATTAAGTCAGTTTCATTTATCAGTGTGTGTATTTTAGTTCTACACTGTTACAAAGCAGAAAGTTGCTAGCCAGTTGTTCTGGAGGGTGAAGGTTTGGGTTTTAACATGCCATTAAAATGTGTGTGTTTTTTTTTTTTTTAACATGCATTTAGTTTAGCAAATTTTCATCGGCCTGCCCTGCCTACATCAACTCTGAAAATAATTTTATACATTTCCCAGAATACTGTTTGGCAAACCCTGGAGAATATGGCCAAACCTGTAGCATTCAGTGTGTGTAGGCGGAGAGAACCAAGTCCAACACTGATAGCAACAGAAACATTTGGAGCAAAAATATTTTTTTTCACAGTTGAAAAAAGAAACTTGTACAGCTTTCTCAAAATGTCTTGTGGTCAGACTACAGTCATTGGACTAATGCATTATACACGATGAAAAAAACAAAACATCCATCCATCCATTATCTATATGCCGCTTAATCCTCACCAGGGTCGTGGAGGGCTGGAGCCTATCCCAGCTGACTCAGGGTGAAGGCAGGGGACACCCTGGACAGGTCACCAGTCTATCACAGGGCTACACTTAGAGACAGACAACCAAGCACACTCACATTCACACCTACGGACAATTTAGAATCACCAATTAACCTCAACATGTTTTTGGATTGTGCGGGAGGAAGCTGGAGAACCTGGCGAGAACCCACGCTGCACAGGGGAAACATGCAAACGCCACACAGAAAGATCTCAGGTGTCCTCACCGGGACGCGGATCGGTGACCTTCTTGTTGCAAGGCAATGGTGCTAACCACCGAGACACCTTGCAGCCCAATAACAAAACAATATCTCATTAAAGTTAATTACTGTCATTGTAGGTGCATTAGAAATATGTTAATTGCTGTAGGTCAGTCTGTTGGTTATCTGTATTAACAACAAACAACAACAGTCGGACCTATCACTGCAATGCAAACTTCACCAGAAAATTAAGGGGCAATTCTGTAATGCATGTCTACACAGTGAAAAGTGTTACAGTGTGCATCAGCATCACCTGTTCTGTTTCTCAGTGTCCAGCAGTCTCTGGATCTCCCTGGTCCTCCTCTCTGCCTGGTTCTTCTCGTCCTCCAGTGTTGCCCTCCAGGCGTCCCACTGTCTCTCCTTCTCCAACAGCTCATCATTCAGGGTCTCCAGCTCCAGAACCTGTTCCTCCAGCATTGTGCATGTGGTCTTCAGTGTCTCAAGGTTCTGGTACAAAACAGGATTTAGATTAGAAATAACACTTTTATTAGATCACTGTGGGCTAGTTATAATTCTCTGCTTACATACGACACAGGGAATTTTGGTAGCACCATGCCTAAAATTAATGACAATCCTTGAATAGGGGCTTATTGGGAGCATTTGATGACAATTTAAAATAACATACCTGGAGTGTGTCAACTAAAATTTAAATGACTGTTCAGACCTTCAGTTTAAATAATAACCTGAAACACTAATTAAAAAGGGTGCCAGCATTAGTGTTCCTATGAAGTTATTTACATGACATGTTTGGACACAATGTTTTTCTGAGTTTTTCACAAGGCCTACACAATGCACTGTGTTTTATGTCTTACAATGCACTGCTTTAGACAAAGCACTGAGAGACAAATATAGCCTCTGCCGGTGCTGCAGCAACACCACGGCCCTCTGAAGTCCAACGCTTCCACAGCTGACACGACCTGGGAGTGATGGGGATGACACATCCCTCCCACACACCACCCCATCCCTCGTCTATGACTTCCATCGCTGGTTACACAACTAGCAGGACTGAGAGCGCTGCTGGACACCCACACACATATCCTCCCACAGGGGCAGCGCACACATCACACAGCCTCCTCTCTCTCTCTTTCTCTCTCTCTTCCTTGCTGCATCCACAATACAACACATAACAATGCTGAAATAATCCCAGAGGTTCTGCTGCCTGATTTACACTTAACACTGTCAGAGCTGGGAGAGATGTCTAGGTCACCTGTCACAGGTATTGTGGAGATATCACATAATGTGAGTAAGTGAAAACCTGGTGTCTGTCTGTGAGTGGAAGAGGGTGGGGGGAAAGGAAGCTGAAGGAGAGGAAGGACCTCAACTGCCATAGATATCAAAAAAAAAATATTTTAAATTTTTTTTAAAATTTTCAACGATTCACAGCTGATATTTTGCAGCAATTTCATGCAGACATGTGACAACCACTACACCGTAGTGGTGACGTGTCAGCTGAATGGAAGCACCGTGAGTGACTCTAAAAAACTGGGCTTAAAAGTCAGCTGTTGTTTTCTGTGTTTAATTCCACACACTGGTGACCTATCTGATGTCTCAAAGAGAATGAATGGATGGAAGACTGCAGTGTTTCCTTGTTCAGTTTTGAGAAATGTCAGCGTTCAAACTGTCACATCAGCCACCTCCGTCTCTGTTCTGTTTTCCTTTCTCTCCTATCTGCTTCTTGTTGTTGCTCCTGTCATTTACCAGATCGGCTTTGTACTTGTGTAGTGATAGTGCTCCTTGCTAGTTTTGTCAACCTGACCTTTACCTGTATGTGTTTTTGCCTCATCTGATTTGTATGCCTCCTCTGACTGCTTCCCTGTCACTGACCCTGCCTGATCTAAGTAAAAAAGGCTTTTGATGTTTAACACCATTTCCTATAAGTATTGCTTCTGAGTCCAAGCTTCAGTGTCTGAGGCAATTCCTAACTCTGAAACAGCTCCCAAATATAAATAAAACTGATGGAAATCAACACATACAAAAACAAGAGCAGTACTAAAAAGAACAATGCCTATTGAATCTGAGCCAAATGTCCCCTAACACTCCATTAAAAGGTCTGCTGTAGAGTTCTCTTGTAAATAACTATTGCAAGCTTCCATTTTCATTCACTGTTCGCTACCCCAAAACACATTCTGAGGTCTCATAAGGATGTTGAATGTATTCCTGATACAGCTTTTGCAATCAGTGGAATAGCACGGAACCATTGTCTGAAATGTGTATGCATACATCAGAACTAACACAGCAGGGACCATTCATGTTGCAGTAGAAGTATCTCATAGATTAGAAACTCCACAAGGTACCTCTATATGACTATTAATAAGAGATCAGCATTGTAGTCAGTACTATAACCCCTTCTGTCAACAAATCAATACAACATACCAGTTTTGCATTATTGAGTATTGCTAGTCCACATGACATGTATTTGTATTTGTGTGTTTCTCGACAGCTGAAAGAAACGCACATGAGCAGGGAAAAAACATGCACGCGCGCGCACACACACACAAACATACACATACACACATTTATATCTGCGTAAGGTCAGTGACTCACATAATGCGTTCTCTAAACTAAAACTATCACTCAAATAAACACTAAGGCAAAACCTCAACCCTTACTTAATACTTATTAAACTTTATCTTTGCAAACAAGTCTTAACAATCAGACAGCAAATTAAAGTTGTGGGGATTGACTAAAATGTCCCACATGATGCAAACATTTTGTTACTATGATGGTTTCAATTTAAAATGTATTCACTCAAAATCATAGGTACATATACACCAATCAGCCACCTTCCTAATATTTTGTATGTTCCCCTTGGAACTGTTTGGGGGTGTTCCAGTGTCCTGTGGTATCTGTCACCATGACATTGGCAGCAACTCCTTTGGGTCCTGTGGGTTGCTGGGTGGGGCCTCTGTGGATTGGGCTTGTTCTGCTGCAACCCGCAGATGTTCAATCACATTGGGATCTAGGGAGTTTGGAGCTTGTCCTCAAGCTGTTTCTAACAAGTTCTTCAATCAATCAATTATCAATTTATTGTCCTTGCACATGTCACAAGTACAGAGCAACGAAAACAACAGTTACATCCCATCCAAGAAACATATAAAGACAGTAGCTAATAACAGGGGGAGACAGGAGAGAACTGTCGGACCGCCCAGTCTAAGCAGGGTCACCTCAGAAGATAGGAAAAGGGAAAACAAGAGGGAAGACGGGGGGTGGGGGGTGGGCACAGTGTGAGATTAGGAAAAAAAAAAACACCTCAGCACTAGGTTTTCTTGTGATGTGGTGAGACGTATTATTGTGCTCGTTCTGCAGCAACATTCACAAAAGTGGTACGTGTCAAAGTAATGTCCACATGAATACCAGGACCTGAGATTTCCCAGCAGGACAATGCATTGTAACAAGTTGATCAGTGTCATTCATTTCACCTGTAAGTGGTTTTATTGATGTGGCACATTGGTGTAGAACTATAACTAGAACATGATCACCAGCAGCCAAATACCTGTTTCTGGTTGTTAAGGTGCATTTCACGGTCAGCCACCTCTCGACGAAGCCTGTCCACATCCTGGCTGAGGTGCAGGCGATCTTCTCTCTCATCAGAGGCCTCATCCAGCTGCTTGGACAAGTAGAAATTCTGGCGGTTCAGCTCGGCATTCTCCTGAGTCAGTGTGGTCAGCTGCTCCTCTAGGTCTGTGATCACCTGTAGAAAAATGAGAACACTCAGTCTGCAGGTTTAAACTGATGAAAATATACACAGTATTCACTCTGCACATGTTTTGTTAAAAAGTTGTACGCACTTTCCTGTATAATTCTTTTTATAGTACAGAGCCAAGAGTCACAAAGAGTTTTTTTTGGAACTACTTTAGCATTTCCTTGTAATACTTTTTACACATCTACTGATCCATATGAGCAATTGCTGTGTTGGTATAATCCAGTTATGATGCACTGCCAGTTTAGGGAACCACTTTATAGGTGCTTCAGAAAGGATGCATTTATGGCTCATTTCCTCTTGAATAGGCTGCACTTCAACAGCATACCTACTGGCTGTGAGCACAGCTACAGCTGCTCAGCCTGAGTGTAGTGGAAGAAGCTGTGGTTGTGTATATGGCAAGAAAGTATTGTTGTTTTTATCAGTTATGACAATGTTTTATCAATACACCACAGGAGCCCAGGAGTGCAGCAGCTTTAGAAAACCTGCCCAGCCATGTCAACTCATTGCACACACACAACAGCTGCAAACAGTTTGTGTTACATCCATTATAAACTAATGTGTCACAGCTAGAATCATAACAGCCAAAGCGTAACTATGGCTGCAGCCACATCAAAGCGGCAACATCATCCTACAATCACAGCTACAGTCTGTCTTAATCAGCTTCAGCAGCAGTCTGTGAGAGAGCTAGGTCAACTAATTCCTCTAGTTTCTAACTGCAATGGTACAGACTTGTGCCTAAGGAGCCACAGCTTTAGGGGTGCGCCCACTCCTGCTGTGTTTACAGCCAGCAGTGTGTAGGTGAGTTCAGCTGCACTGATCTCCTTCTACATCAGGTCTCTAAGCCTTAACATAGTTGAGACATAAACTCTGTTAAAGAGACATCTCTATTATATAGCAAAATGTTTTCGGAAAACACAGTAAATGAACAATAATTTCATGATTTACAGATAAGATAAAGTTTTTTTTCTGAAATGGTGAATATGTTGTTCGTAATGTTGCTCCTCCGCACAAAAACTTGACCTAACACCCCACACAGTCTAAATTCTACTGCTGCATTATTACATGATGCAGATATCTGGGCTAGTGATGTAATGCAGTAATCATTTTGGCATGATATCTAGCCTACTTGTTTAACCCAGGCAGCATTCAGAGCAAGGAGCAGGCTAATCATTTCATCAGCATCGGCTTGTTCCCTTAATCAGCCATAACTACTGTGCACATTGTAGGGAAATAAGGGTTAGAGGCTGATGAGGCTGCCTGTGAAAAGCCCTTTATCCTCAGCTCTTATGGGAGCATGTGTACTACGCAGAACTTCAAGGTGGCGGGGGGAAGAGGCAAAGCTTTTAAGTACATAAATTAGCTGTCTGTTCTGTACTGACTCAGTGCTTCTGCTCCCTGAGGCAGGGGACTGACAGCAGCAACTAAACTCTTAAGGCTGGGCAAGAAGTCAACAGTGGAATGGATGCAATGGTGATCTGGCAAGCCTCTACTCCACTCTTCTGTCAACCCAATCTATAGAGCAACTTGAAGACCTAAAGTAAATCACACCACGAGCTTTGCATCTTCAACACTGCTGCATACAAGGTGCTGAGTACTATTTGTGAAGGCCGTGGGTGTCACACAGCTTCCTTGATTAAAATGAACATGGCCTTTACTGTACGCTGAAAGTACAAATTACAGAGGAACATCTTCCTCTTTGATGAATGAGCAGGATTCCAACTAAATTCACGATTTTTAAAGTAACCTCATTTTATTGAAGTCATTACTACCTAAATACGAGTGACTGATATGGATAAAACTGTCGTATACATAGATATGATAAATTTGATAGTAATTCAACTGAGAAAATATCTATAGATGAAATGGAAATGCCTTTGGGCAAAACCAGTGTAAAAGCACTCTTTACTGATTTAAATAAAGCCCACTATGCCCTAATGCATTACTGACATATTCCTAAACTATAATGTTCGTCATGTGTAGATAGGAAGGAAGAATAAAATCCTTATAGTACCTCTCTGCAATGACACTGTTACACTGTGAAACAACACAAGTATCCACTCTTCTTTAAGACTTTGAATTATGTATACACCGAATGTTTTTCTCCACGAGTGCACTTGAAAAAGACAGTCACAAATAAGGCTAACACTCTTAAGTTCCAGTGTCTGCAGGTTACAATGCTCCCGTAACACAAAATACACACCTTAATACAAGGTAGTTGGACACATGAAAGAACATACTGACAGTGCAGGTATTTCTACAGTCTCCCCATTAGTGCAGTTAAAAACAAACTATTTTGCTCAGCATATTTTGTCGTAGTATGTTGCTTACTGAATGTCTTGCACGTAAAGCTGCCATTTTGGCCAAAATATAACCCAAATTAAAGTTTAGATTTCACCCTTTGATGGTCAGGAGTGTGCTAAGTAAACTGGCTCTTTAGATTTTAATCTGCCGGTTCAAATGTCCTAAAAAATGGCCTCATGTAAATGTCTTGATGGAACACTAAAAATGATAAAAGAGGAATTATCAAGGGGTGACAAAAAAAGGGTAATTCCCTGGAGAACTACATTTATTGACACTTTATCAACACAATTTTCTAGATAGCTTTCTCTTTTCCAAAACATTCCACAGACAGACTAACCAACATAGCAAGTCTTAGAGGGGAAAAACAGAGTGGCATTTCAAGCTCTGCTTGTTGCAGAATTTGGCTGTGTTTGCCTGAACACTGGCCAGCTGAATCTATGGACATTGCCTTCTGAACAGTTTGCGAGTGGGAGGATCTCAAAAGTAGGGCAATGGGATAAAGGAAGACCATGATGATCTTGGTATTTATTCACGGAACAGTGTATATGAATTTGAAGGCACTCAAATGTCTTTACATGACATCACTTCTCAAGGTTAGTGGGACACGAGGACTGCAACATCCTATGTTGTCTAACAATAATAAATATCTCTGCTGACATAGAAAAGAACTCTAATTAACCAAATTTAAAGCTCTTGAGGCTAATGTGGGAAAAACATCAGATGCTGTGTTACAAACTAAACCACGAGGTAATGTTGAGTGCATGATACCATGAAGCATGGCAAACAAAAAAACAAAAAATCCTAGAATGTGAAGCTGCCAAAACAATGATCACTGGACAGAAGCCTTCCTGAACTGTTCCAGCAGGGCTAGTTTGGTAAAAACCAACTCATTTACGTAATGTGTTAATTAGCACAATGGCATCATGGAAACAAACGATTAAACTGAGAATGAATCTGCCACTGTCTGTGCTGATTTGAAACAGCAAGTCTAACTATGGCCATGGAGACAATGTTCTGGGATCATCCTGACAATATGAGTGTTGAGCCCTGGTGGTAAATTTACATCATAAAGTTTTAAAGGATTCCGCACTTATATTTTGAAAGGGAAAGGTTGTTTGAAGTCCCAGTGAGTCAGGTGTTTTTTCAAAAATGAGACCCGATTTATCCAAGAATGTCAAAAACACATATGGACAGAAACATGGCTACTTGAAGCTCTGTGTGTTGATGTGCGATGATTCAGCTGGTGTTCAGCGCCAGAAGAGCTGACTATTCCTGGAAAGAGTGAAAGAGCAAAAAAGAGGAGTGAGCGGCTTACCGCACAGCTGTCTCTCAAGGCATCAAACTTGCGTTGAATCTCATCTCTGTGGGCCTACGAGGCATGACAAGAGAGACAGGGGGACAGATTTTACTCCCTAAATTATATGACATCAAAGGAGTCATCATCTTCAAAACTCCTTTACTCTCTCTCTCTCTTACTCTGAGCACAGTGATCTCCTCCTCAGCCTCTGCAGTGGTCTCCTCTAGCTCAGTCTTGGCCTGCTGCAGTTGGTTCTCCAGAGCATGGCGAGCTGCCTGCAGGTTGCTGATCTGAGATTCACGCTCTTGCAGTGACAGGGTCAGCTCTGTCACCTGACGCTTAATCTCCAGCTTTTGTTCCTCATTCTCCAACCCAATCTACAAAGGCAGACAGAAAGGGACCATTCAGGATCAGGAGATAGAGGAGGCGATTCACCCCAAGGAGCAGTCAGAGACATGCTGACATGACACAGCTTTCCACAGGAATGAGAGAGCATTACACCTGAGTCCTCACCTTGCTCTGATTCTGCCTCGATTTGTTGTGTTGCTATTTTCTGTTACATCTTGATTAAAAACAGCAAGTAAGATTGTTATTGCTCAGTACTAAAAATTACAATGCTGCATTTGCATGGTTCATGAAGGTAGCAAATCAATATTGGTGATTAAGGAGTTCTGCAAATGTTTTCTAGCTGATAAAATGAACTTTCTGGACAAATATAGAACATTTTCATCTACATGACAATACTAATATTCCAATGCAAAGCCATATGCTACATTTATGAACTGTACATCAAATCTTCTCTACCTTTTTTAACATTAAATTTCATGGCTAGAGCCTATACATCATCATCTAATAACCAATTTGCAAGCTGCACCTGCTTCCGCATGGGGTCATAATGTACTATATTTCTTCAACATAAATTCAGAGACAGAATGATACACAGGTGTATTTCTGCTATTTGAAGACAGATTAGCACAGATGAAAGAGGTCTAGTGCTCAACTTTAGCTACTTAGCCTTTAAAAGTGTTGTCTGTTGTGCTTAGAAATACACTTTGTGTAAATAGTCCCTAGTACTTACTTAAAATGACTTGGTATTGAAACAAAAAAAGGACTAGAAATGAAAGACTGCACTGGAACTGACACTACAGTAAAAAATAAATTGGGAACAGGGTGAAAGCAAAGAACGTTTGAGTGTCACACTTGTGGGAAAGCTTATATCCACGAATCTATCAACACATGAATCATGCTTAATAACCCAGCTTTTCACTGTGCCCCCTATAATATCTCCTCACCTCTCGGAGCCGAGTTTCCAGCTCCATCACACGGCTCTTATTGCTTTGCTCTTGCTGACTCATTTTCTCTAGATGCTCCTCCAGTTTAGCATTCTGGGCCTCCAGCTTCCCAGCCTGAGACTCCAGGTAGAACTTCTGCTGGCGAAGCTCTGAGATCATCTCCTCCTGGGCTTTCCTAGAAAGACCACACATCAACATGAGGAAAAGTTTAATAGGAGGCAATGCAACACTCCCAAGATAAAATTAGGGACATTCCAGGTATTATTTTGCACAAACTCTATCCTCTTCAACCAGTATGTTGCCCTTCATAGTCGGGATAAGAATAAATGGCCACGGCTTTCACTTGGTTACCTTTGTTGCATTTACGTTTGCAGTTAAGCAGAATAACGAGGTTTTGTGTAAGTACTTACATGTTTTTCTGCGTGTAGATACTGCTGTTGGCTGCCAATTTATTGGCCTCTGACAGCTCAGCAATTCTCTGTTCCAGGCTGTTCATCTTTGAGTCCATGGCATTTATGGTCTGAATAGAAAGTTTGGATACTATTACTTTTGTTTTGAATAAGCGTTCAGTAACATTTTTCACATACTGGCTTTAACTGGGATCGGATTAAGGATAATTTTTTTGTGCTGTACAATAATAATATTCCAAACCTGAAATCTGTGTCAGTATGGTGCATGTTAAAATACGCCTGAAATAGCGTCATTTCCAAGCTGGTCAGTTCTTACCGCCTTCTGTTCACTGATGATGCTGCACTTCTCCCGCACCTCCTCCTCATATTTGCTCTGACTGGACTCCAGCATCTCCTTATCAGCCATGTCCGCCTTCATCTGGGCCTCCAGCACCTGCTCAATGCCAGGCAGCCCACAGAACCACAACCAGGATATCAGGATATCACTTAACCGGACAGAGAATGGTGTAAAGATGACATACAGTAGATCTCCCAAGCACAGAGGACATCCACAACTAACCCAGCCACACAAAGACCACAAACATAGCATGACCACTTCCTGTATGTTCATTAGGATATACCTGCCTGTCGTTCTGCATAGCAACAAAGTGTCTGCAAATGTCAGTGTGTTTATGTATTGGGAAATCAAACCTTAATCTTGTCTTCATAGAGCTTTTCCTTCTGTTTAAGATGAGTCTCTAAACGCTGGGCTGTGGCTTGGGTCTCTCGCAGATTCTCCTCCAGCTCCTACACAAAAATAAAAATAGGTTATAAACAGCATATTAATACCAGGGGCCATGCTCACAAAGGCTAAAAGTAGCAAAAAGTACTTTCTCAACAATTTTTGGTATGAGAGTGAAATATAAAGTATTTCATTACAAATGAAGGCTCATATATTTGTGGTAAGTTAGAAGTAGTCCAAATGACTCCTTAATCTCTAACACCTAATCACAATCAGCGAGGTTTCCTCATCTGGTTTTGAAATATAATTATGAATGTTTATTAGCTTGACTGTGGGGGATTTGGATTGTAGTGGAGTCTGAGGGGATTCAAAGTCTTCACCATCACACAGGTTTTTTTTTTTTTTTTTGGATGCCTCCCACTACATTTGAAAGGCAGTGTTCATAAGCTGTATTACTTCGTCAAATATATAAAACCAGTGACATAGTTTCATAAAATACACTAAACATATGTTGATATGTGATTTTTAAATATGAATAAATAAATAATATTTGCTTTTTTGTTGCTACTGATGCAGTAAGTAATCAAGTTCATGAAACATATCATCATCTATGCTAATGGTTTCAGCCACCCCGCTTTTATTTTTGGGGCGCTCTTCATTGGCTGTATCCACAGCACAGATTTGGGCATGATGGAGCAAAAAAAAAAGATCGGTGGACCTATATATGTACAATACTGCAAGAGGCCAATTCTTGTAAGTTGTCTTCATTCAAACACATTTCTCTCAGCAGCTTTGATACACAGTCTTAGGAGGCCACTATTAGTGTCGAAGCTTTAGTGCCATTTAGTGCCAAAAAAAAAACCTTTATGAAACTAGATGAAAAATTTTACTTTCTCTCCTACACACCCACACAGTTGTTCATCACTAATAGACCTGTGATCAGGTTAAATTTGGGGGTAAGTATGCAGGATATTAAATGATGTCACTATATGCTGGGATACTGCAAAAAAAAAAAAAAAAGTAATTTGTCCCACCGTAAATGTTGCAATAAAAATAACCAAAGAAGTGAGACAGAGATGTCAATCAAGCACGCTTTGTTTACACCCACACTAATAAGGTAAACTAATTGAAAATACTTGCCGTGGTTGTATCATGGCTGCGTAGGGGTTTTAAAATGAGACAGTGTTATGTAAAATGAATTGTTGTATGTGTTACCTTTGTGGCCCGTGTCTATAAAAATAACACTTTACATTCAAAATCACCCATAAATATGGTGAATGATAAACCTCGGGTTTTCAGAAATATTATGTAAAATTGCACTTCCTCTGCAAAGATGACAATGAGCTATGTTTATCTCACACCTCCTCTGATTATTTTAGCTCCACACAAGAGATGAAAGGTGAGTTACCAGAATCTTATCTGCCATCTGCTGAATCTGCTGGGCCTTGCTCTGGACCTCATCCTTAAGTTTAGTCTCCCGGCGCTCAACAATCTCCAGCCTTTTCACCTGGTTCTCAAGAGTCTTCCTACCATCCTGCAGACAAAGAATAAAAGTTATGCACAAAACGTAACTGACTGACTTTTTTTTTTTGTTTTAAAAACGCAACCTCAGGTCAAGATAATCCATAGTTAAAAACAGTTTTTAGCTGTTCGAACATCACAACTCACAATTGCAGGAATTAGTTTTTAAATTTCCACTTCAAGGAAAAAGCAACAGCATGCTGTAGCAGTTTGGCTTGTTAGTGATGTACCTCTGCAATGTTTATATTGCTTACTTATTATTAATATTACTATTATTCAAAGTGCCTCACAGTGGTTCCAGAGAGCTTGTTTGCATTCATGCAAGATAGTGTGAGAGGTCTTTGGAGCCGTGTAAATTTGACACTGTGCATGTTTTCTTTCCACTAAGGCTCCTATCAAATCTACTCTAAGCTATTTACCAAGCATGTTCTATATGACACTATTGACATTAACATTAACATAGTTAGTTGCTGAAGTAAAGCAAAATGAAATGAGAAAAGAATCATTTTAAAATTTGATTTACACAGCTATCAATTTTTAGTTTTTGTTAAATTTAGATGTTTGGACAATTTACCCAATGAATTTGGCCTGTAAGAAAATTGTGCACAGAAACAGTTTGCTGGTATTAAAGCAGATGCAAGAGCACCAAGCCACCAGAGAATCAATTAGCAAGATGTCCTATGCAGCCTGATAAGCTTCACAACACCAGATACAACAGTGTTTCTCTGTTTAGGATCATAGATTATCTGTACACAGTGAATACAACAAGATTATGAGCAATATTTCTCCAAAAATATGCTTAACTCATTTAAAGCATCAACAGGCAAGTAAATAAGCAAAAACAAAACAAACAAACAACAACAAAAAATACAGCCCTGGTGCAGCTTTTCTCTCTCAACTCTCTGTTCTAAGTCCCTCTGAGCAGACAAACATGAATTTCAAACACACAAAGGTAATTCAAATATAAAGTCAGCAATCATTTATGGCTTTAATCACAGGGTAAAAAGACCTGCAAATGGCTGAAATCTCCTGTCAAGAGGCTAGGCTTTCTAAATCCTGAAATTTGAACCAAGAGAATGTGCATAAGTCTACTTTCCTCGCAGATCACTTGAGCTGCAATATGAGGACAGGTTGATATGGAAATTTTGCCCAACAATACAAAAAAGATAGTACTACCGACTCTGGACTAATGATTGTGAACATTTCTGTCTAGGGTTCTTTTGGCAGCAGCACATCAGTGTATATTTTTGATCAGCTGAAAGACATTTTAGGTTAGTTTTACCATTTTCCTTTTACCCTTCATCACAAAATGGGACAGTGACATAAATCCAGAAAATACAAAAATCACTTGAACACCAAGGCTACCTGACATGCTATCATGCCATCCCAGCACAAGTGTTCCTCAGGAGGTGTAAAAACATGTTTACAAGAGAACATATGGGTTCTTTGTGCTTTGCAAATATCCAAGCCAGATCTATTTAAGCAACACGTTTGACAAAAATGTTTAGCATCTTGCAAAGCAACAAAAGACGTGATACACAGAATAGAAAGAACAAACAGACAGGAATCCAGAACAAATACATGCAGGTAGTGTGGATGTGTACAGTGAGCATGATACACACCGAAGGTGTGTATGTACCTCAGTCTCACGGAGTCGTCTGCGCAGGCTGTCACTGGAGTCTTCCTTGTTCTGTAGCCTCTCTAGATCTCGTTCCATGCGCTCTTTGGCCACTTTCATTGTCTGAAGGAGGTCTGTAGCCTCTGCACTGCCCTTTAATGCCTAGAGGTTCAAAGACAGATTATCAGTTAAAATCTACAGTGCCCTCCATAATTATTGGCACCCCTGGTTAAGACGTGTTAAAAGCCTTAAAATAAATATAATTTTTATTGCGGAAGAATACTCTCACACTGAAAATTGTAGAAAAATGTAACCTTCAGCTCAACTCAAATAAATTGCTGGCAAAAGGGGGTTGTAAAAAAGTATTAACGTCAAGGGTGCTAATAATTGTGGAACACATGATTTGATGAAAAAGAATTATTTTTTAATGTGGGATTTTTTTCACACTGAATAAATGCACTTGAATTAAAGGCAGAATTTTCCTCTTTTTTCATTGTGGTCCAATATTATTTAGAAAAAAACAGAATTTACTAGAAGCTAAAGAACACATCTCAACCAGGGGCGCCAATAATTATGGAGGGCGCTGTACACATTTGTAAATATTATTGACACAAACTTAACCTCTTTAAATTTACAAAATGTATTGTCCAATCTGATACAAATGGCAGCGCATAAGTCAAAATAAACATTTGAAGAACAGCTATCAGCAAAGTAATTGTGTGTAATAGCAAACCAAATACATGAAAGTAATTATTTACTGCATGTAGAAGCATTACCTGGGTAGTTGTCTGAGCAACACTGGTGACACAGGGTTACATTGCACTGTTTGCAGATTATTTCATTAACTAGTTTGCACTAAGTCAGAAGGAGACTTATGGCAATTGTGGGCTCAGTCAGCCTTGAATATCAGCACCACAGCCCTCATGTACTCTTGGTAATACGGATGGTACTTTTAAATATTCATCTCCAGGAAAAGACAATTAGAATGAAATTATCTTTACTAATGAGGCAAAGCGGGTTGATTGCTGATAATTAAGCAGTAACTCTAGTTTTAAAAGACGGCTTAATTGTTCTCTGGCCATAGAATGAATCTGACAGTAGACTACAGTTTATAAGACAGAGAGAGCAAGAAGCAGGTCAGGAAGGGTAAAGAGGGTGTTTATACACTCATCTGAAAGTGTGAAATGCTGTTACATTTCTTGCATTTGGGAGCACAAGCTCAGATAAATTATTCATCAATCTTCTCAGCAAAAATGTTCTACCTTGGCAAGCTTCTCTTGAAGATCCTGGATCTTTGTCTGCTGCTCAACATTAGCCTATAAAGGAACATTTGAAATGTAAAGGTTATCATACTTATCACACTTGAGGTCACTTGAACTTGTCAGTATCCTTATTTAATATTATTTTTTTCTTCAAACCACACAATCTTATCACAACCGAATCAATGAACTACCTTCTCCAACTTGGTGATCATCTCCTCTGCGTCCGCTTTGCCCTGCTCTTTGGCCTGTGAAGATATAGGACAGTCTGTGAGATCGCCCCCAGATACTTTAACAGCAAGAACAAACTTAATAATGACTACAAGTTACATATTTATAGATCATGATAGTATCATACTGTCACTTAATTGTGAATGGTACAATGTGTATCACAAATCACATCTCGTTTTACCATGACTTTTGAACCATAATGAGCTTTAGTTACAGTGTGGACCTTCTGCATCCTATGCTGGTAGTCTGCAGCCTTCCTCTTCAGTTCCTCGCTGGCCTGTCGAGACTCTTTCAGCTCGGCCTCATATAAGTCGCTACGGCGACGGGCAGCAGACAGGTCCTCCTCCAGTTGTCTAATGGAAACTCGCATCTCCTCCAGCTGGGCATGATATTCCTACGCAAAGACAACAGAAACCTTAGATGAGTGAAGCGAGGAGAGGAGAGAAGAGGAGAGGAGAGGAGAGGAGAGGAGGGGAGAGGAGAGGAGAGATCTGCTAAAAGCACCCAGCATAGGAGGTTGTCTTTTAATTTTTTTTTAAAGATAAGCACTTTATCTAGGTAATATGACAATATTTGTTTTGCAGCTATTTACGGTGACCTTCTAGCAGTGCAGAAAATTTTGCAAAAATTGCAAGAGCAATTACCAGCTCTAAGGCAGCCTCAGTGATCTCTGATTCAAGCCTGAAGAAAATGTACTTGTTAGAAACTACTGCATCATTCATACCAGTCAGAGTCACACATTAATAACTCAGCAGAATAAAACTCCACATATAGTAGAGGTAATGAAAAGCTAAATATCTAAACAGTCAATAAACAGAGAAAAGTATGTAAGGAGAAAAAAGTTGTTCAGCCAAAGTCACTTGTACATGTCTGTTAAACAGTAATTAGTCACAGGCTAACAGATCTAATTTCAACCATCTCATCTGCTTACAGGGCACATCAGCCTGTCTGTCAGTCTAATAAAATGTAGCATCTCTCTGCATCCAGGGAGGCTGATGCTCAGCCGACACGGATTAAAACAAATGAAGCAGACAGCATCAGACATGGTGAAAATGATGCTAAAATAGTTTTGGTAAAGTGGAACGAGGAGGGTAACATGGGTAAGCCCACTGTCACAAAAGGCTCACTCAAGGGGCAATTGTTGGGTTTCTCTATAATATTGTCTTGTCTTGACTTTACTGTATAAAGTGTCCTGAGATGATCATGCTATGTTCTGATCTGGTGTCATATAAATAAAATGGATTTTAATTTAATTAAATATTGATCTCTGAATGAAGGAACTGTCTCCCTAAACAAAGTAGTGATAGCCTGTTAGAAAAACCATCAGGGAAGTGGCTTTGCACAGTATGAAAGTACCTGCGCGTCTTCCCCTCTGATCATTTTGGCTCCAAAAAAGCAGACTGGCAGTAACGCTTTAGCAAAACAGTGACTCAGTATAAGGAAATTCAAGACATTTTATCTAAAACACAGAAATAATAAATATATATCAAAGAGCAGTCTATATTACGAGACTAAATGGCTTCAAGTGTAAGCTAAGACTGACCGTCTGTGAGGAGTGAAAGTATACCAGCCATTGATTTTACTACTACAGCTAAATTTACTTTCCCTTGATACATAAAAAGAGTTTAAAAAAATAAATAAATAAATGAAATAGCAAAGAAAACTGCAAGCAAACATGACAAACACAACAAATATGAAACCAGGAATATTAAATTATTATAACGTGCGACATGCTTTTTTACAGATTTCTTAATGTTTTTGTTTAAGTTGTTCTTTCATTTATTTCCCTTTAATAAGAAAGTTCAATCAAGTTGCGTGATTAAACAACTCAAGCAAGTTTCAAGTGTCTACCTTCCAATTCTATTCAGAATTTTTTTATTCAGAATTAAAGTTAATATGACACCCATTCCTTTTCAAGGTTATTTGCTAATCCACTAGTTGGCTGTTTGCTAAACTGCTTGCAATTGTGCAGTCATACAGTAATTTAGCTTTGCATTTCTCCACATGCTCAGAGATGTGCATAGGAGAAAAACTTTCCATTGAACACATTGTTGGGGTGAGTTGTGCATTTTTATTCAGCCTTTTCAAACTAAAAACAAAAGTATGTGTGCCACGCAACCAAACAGGGTTAAGAAAAAATCAAATGTGAAAATTTTGTCTGGGACGTCCGGCTTCATCCTCAGTTTGTAGCATGTTAGATGGATTATGCATACATAGACACACAATACATGCACCAACTGATGCCTCATAAAGCGTTACGGTTTCTAACCCTATTTCTGTTAACACACCCGAGACAGAAACAGTGTTGTTCTCTGTGGTTCTTTGCTGCTCGTGTGTCTTTTGTGAAATTATCACTTTCCACGTGTTTGCAGGTCTTTCTGGCTTTGACACAGATTGCTTAATTTTCTCTGAAAATGAATCCATCCCCAATCTCTACTGTTTGTTGATCCAACACTGCATGGTTTCTGCATGAAAATGATAAACACTGCAGTCATATGACAGAGCGTGGGAGACAGATGCTTTTCAAGATGAAATGCTGGATTTAGCTGGCGTAAATACCCTGCTAAGAGGCACCAGTGAGAACACAGAGCCATTTAATACGCATGAGCAGCAAACTATCTTTGTAAATTTGAAGACACAGACTATACTCTTTTATTTTAATCATAATCTATTCATAAAATATTTTAATTTGAGAAAAAAAAACTTGAAAAGAACAGCTAATGGGATTTGTTATTTTTAAGTCCTGTTATACACATCCAGTTATGAGGAGTTCTGTTCAACCACAACCCAATGTGAACCTTCACTCATACCTTCTGAGAATCCTGGTGGGAGTGTGTTATGAATATTTTACTGACTGTGTTTAACTTTAACTTGCACTTGAAGACATCCTACTGGCACATACATCTTTATTTGGAGAACCTCTGAACAGAAGACACTGGTTGAGCTGGAAAATCGAACAGTTGTTTTTGCAGAAATGCATGCCACAGGCTTGCATCCCTGTGACACTATACAGTGTTTAGGTGAATGACAATGTACATTTAGCTTATCATGCTCAACTTTACACAGTGGCATACTAAAATTAAAGACGCCCTACAGTGAAAATCTTTTTTTTTTTACTTTGCTAAAATGTCCTGATAGTTTTTCTGATATCCCAGAAGGCACATTATGAGTAGGAAACACCATAGCTGAGCATTTCCACCATGAAACTGCAATGTAGCAATGATAGTCTCATAAACTTCGATTTCATATGAAGCAAACCTAAGAAACAAATCCTGTTAGCTTGCAGGGTATGGCTTTCTGTATTCTTCTTCTTCGATAGTGATTTGCAGTTTGAACATGTATGGCTGAATTACATTTATGTATTTACACTTATATACTTAGTTGCCATGGTGATGGTGGCGCGCATAGACATAGCGGCCCCTTCAGGAGACGACGAAAATGAACGTTTTAGTGTCTTGTCTATCCCAGACGTTCATTACACAAAACTTACTGCAGAGAGACTTTGCTGAACATCAGGACAATAAACAGCACTAAAATTGTGGCGATTGGTTGTGATTTGGACATACTACACCAACACGGAGTCCAATCGGAGACTACGCCGGCAGTCCCCTGAGAGAGATGGAAGCGCAAATGGTACGAACGTAAACAAAGAAGGAAGAAGAGAGCCGAGATCTATGCTAGGCTAAAGGCTAACCCCTCCAGAACAGCAGGACCGTCGCTCCTGCTCTCCAATGTCCGCTCCCTCAACAACAAGCTGGACGAGCTACATTTTCTGAGAGAAACCCACAGAGAGCTAGCTCTGGGCAGCATCTGCGGCTACACCATCGTCACACCATTGTGCGTGTCTTTGTGTCCCTGAAGACCTGTCAGGACCTGAAGAGGTTCTCCATGTTCAGCGTAATGGTGGCCCCTTCAGAAAAAAAAAAACAGAAAGAACAAACACTGGACCTTGAGGGAACCACAGACTTAGTGACATGTAATGGTGATATATAACTACATGGAAGGAAGAGAGAAAAGAGTAGGGGAGAGGAGCCCAGTACATCATGGGAATCCCCCAGCAGTTTAAACATATAGCAGCAAAACTCAGGTGACCTTGAGCAAACCTAACTATAAGCTTTATCAAAGAGGAAAGTTTCAAACCTAATCTTAAAAGTAGAGAGGGTGTCTGCCTCACAAACCCAAACTAAGAGCTCATTCCACACCAGAGAAGGCTGAAAACTGAAGGCTCTGTCTCTCAGTCTGCTTCTAGAAACTCTGGGAACCATAAGTAAGCCTACACCAGGTCTTTACAATAAGATGCAGCTTGGTCATTAAGAGTTGTACATGCAAAAAGCAGGATTTTATATTCTATCCTTGATTTTACAGGGTGCCAATGAAGAAAAGCTAGTATGGAGCAAATGTGATCTCTCTTACTGATTCCTGTCAGAACTCTGGATGCAGCATTTTGTATCAGCTGGAGAATTCTAAGTGAATTATTGGTACATCCCAATAATAGGGAATTACAATAATCCAGCCTAGAAGTTACATATGCATGGAATAGCTTTACAGCATCACTCTAAGACAGGATGTTCTGAATTTTGACAGTATTTCGTAGGTGAAAGAAGGCCGTCTTACAGATGTGCTTTACGTCTGTGCTAAAAGACATATACTGATCAAAAATAATTCCAAGGTTCTTCACAGTAGAACTGGAGGCAAAGACAATCCCATCCAATATGGCTATCTGGTTTGATAGTGTGTTTCTGAGGTGTTTAGGGCCAAATACAATAACCTTAGTTTTGTCTGAATTAAAATGAAGAAAATTACAGGTCATCTAGGCCTTTATGTCCCTCAGACATGCCTGGACTTTGACTAACTGATTGGTTTCATTTGGCTTTATAGATAAATCTAGCTGGGTGCCATCTGGATAACAACGGAGTTTGTACAGTGTTTCCCAATATTATTGCCTAGAGGACCATGTACAAAGTAAATAATATTGGTCCTAACATAGAACCTTGTGGAACTCCATAACTAACTGCTGGGGGTGGAAGAAATATCATTAACATGAACAAACTGCAATCTGTCTGATAAATATGATGTAAACCAGTTTAGCGCTTTTTAGGTGTCATTGGGATTAGCTTTAATCCCAATAACACATCCCACTCTCAGTACTAAGATGCTGTGATCAACTGTATCAAATGCAGCACTGAAATCCAAACAGAACAAATACAGAAAGTAGTCCACTGTTTGAGGTTATAAGAAGAACACTGGTGACTTTGACCAGTGCTATTTCTGTACTACGATGCATTTCCTGACTGACCACAATCCTGACTGAAATTATTCAAACAAACCATTTCTGTACAGATGGTCATATAATAGGCTTGCAACAATCTTCTCAAGAATTTTAGAAATAAAAGGGAGGTTGGACATTTAACACTCAAACATCCTTTTCCCCAGTAACTTCCTTAAGCTCCTCTTGAGTGATCCCCGAGGGCCTCAGCATACTTCAAACAAGAAAAAAGACAGATATTGATATTGCTCTGCATCTAACAATTTCTGTAACTTTCCTCAACAGACCATGTGATAACCATGCTTTCCTCAGGCGGTGATTGGACAGCTGTGTGACAAAGTAGGCAGGATCTGACCTTCCCTGTCAAGCTCTTTCTGTCATTTTTCCAGCAAATGTTTCCAGCACTTTTGGTGTGTACCATGAATGCCTTTGAGAAAAGACTGTATAAAATGAACACCCTTATCCCTGTGTGTACAATTTATTGCCTTGAGACAAAACACACCCACAGCCACTGAGTTCTTGAAGAAAGACCTAAGAAGCAGCAGGTCCAACAGTGATATGTAGAGGGAGAATAAGACTGTTAACAGAGCAACAGCTCAATTCTATGGCCCCTCTGAACTGCAAAAACACCCTTGTACCCTAATACTATGTTGTACAAATCTAAATTGTGAACTACAACATGTTATTGAGCATTAGCATTTTGTACCTCCACAGAGTAAGAAAATGCAAAAACATTGAATGCAGATTAACAAAACTTTTTCACCACGAGAGTTTATCAACAAAAGGGCACTGGTACAATACTTCGTATATGAAGTAATGGTCACAAATTCTGCTTCTCGAAACAGTATGAGCTAAGGCCCCAGCACCTCATCACGACAGCCTGCCCACTGCATCAGTGCTCTCTTCACTCGTAGGTATATGGCTCTCATCACCATGGCAACCATTGCACAATGTATTCAGTGCTTGGTAACCAGCACTAGTGTAGGCTGAGAAAAACAGGTTGCTTTTCTATTACCTTTTAAAGAAAAAATGGTGCATAATGCCAGGAAGATGATTTTTCATTCTCTTTATCTGTTGTTTTAAACTGTCAATCTTGTATCAGCTTAATTCTCACAGCTGGCAGCAGTCTGCCATGTGGTGCTGCCACACATGCAGAAATATATGTGCTCACACAAACACTCACATGCCACACACATCCCAATTGATTTCAATAATTAAGGGCTGTGTATACAGTACACTGCTCCTGTCTCTTTTTATATTAATAATATTGCTGATTGCAGACAGATTCCTACAGAGTTCAGCCAGCAGATGCATGATGCAGTCTTTATACAGAGAGTATAATCAACATAATCTAAAAATTCAGTGTATAGATGAGTCTCGCAAAAAGACAAATAAACTTAATAAACCTAAAGTTTATTTGCTCCATTATTGTAAAGTGAAAGTGAAAGTAAAGTGTTCTCAGAGTTTTCAAACCTTGAAAGTCTTCATGGTCATGTTTTTAACAAACATTTTTAAACTGTACATGAACTGTGTCATTATGTGATATATTCTTGATGTAGCGATGTTCAAGAATTTAAAAAAAGTGACAATAATAAGTGCATAAAAGAGGGTACTGCAACATGAGGCATTTCTGCACATGCAGTAGGTGTTTAATGTTACCCCTACAGAGAGTGATGGGTTTCCAACATCATGTGCCTCCATAATTAACAGTCACAATCTACAAACTCAGCCTTGGTGACTTGACCTGTTCCATCTGACTTAATCTGCTTTATTTTGAAAATAAATTAGTTTGTTCAGAGCCCACAACATCAAGAGAAAATAATGTATATCTCCAGCAACTGACCTATCAATGTGATACCCAAGTTGCTGTCCTACCTGCTCTTTGATCTCTTGAAGTTTGTTGCTTTGCTCCCGAATGTCATGAAGGAGCTGCAGTGCTTTATCATCCTCTTGAGTCACTTCCATACGGGCCTGTTCCAAACTGCGCTTCAGACTCTGAAACCAAGATAGACATATTTTCATCAGTTTTGTCAGTTTTTTGGGTACATCCAACTAAAAATAATGCAATCTAATGCAAAAGCCCAACAGTAAATGGTTAAAATGTTTAGATTTGTGTTTTAAATAGGTGTCAGTTCCACTTTTCTGGTAATTTTGAACACCGTTGAATCGTACTGCGTCCCACTCCACTCGCGTTATATCAGAAAATTTGAAATACAATCCTTAAAATCAAACCCATGGCATCCATAGCAGTCAAGTCATTGTGCCTATGTACATATACATGTAAAAACACACATACACATACATGCATATTTGAAACAAGTGAAACAGTCAATTACGAAGACACTCACACTGCATTCTGTGATATAAGTTGCAAGGTCCTGTTCCAGGATTGTTCTCTGAGTCTCCGAGGCTTTCAACTCTATGTCCTTCTGCTGGAGCACTGACTCAAGGTCAGACATCTTCCTCTGGACAAGTGAGATCTCTTGCTCAACCTGAAAATAAAGAACACAGCATGGATCAAACTTTTCCTTTAACTCATTTCACATTTAATTACTGCAGCAGCCCTTGCTGTCTTGTCTTGTATCTTTTTATTGGGGTTGTCCTATGATGTCCTCCTGCTGTTTTCAATAGTAGTAAGAATGCACTTGTGTTTGCGTGCATCCAAGTCTACAACACTGCAGTTGTTTGGTGGCACATGTCATTGGTAGCAATTGATGATACAATTAGATTTGCTATTACAGCATTACATGGCCTGAGGAGCCCTGGAAACCAGAGAAACAGCAGAGCTGGCAGCACAGTCACAGCACTTACTGTATGGTAGCATCAACACACAGCTAGAATGCAGGCACATGCTCACAAAAACACAGCACCGCAGCATGGGGCTGCAGCCAGTAAAACCAAAGGGTCAACATTGTACTGTGATTATTTGTAGTCATGCTGTAAAAACTCCACAGACACTCTTTTAAAAGATCTTTTTAAGAGAAAGCTCAAATGACGTACATTAATCTGATCATAACATGGATTAATGATAATAATATATAAGGCTTTAAAAAAAACTGTGCTTCATAGCCATGTATTACTGTATTTAATATCTCAGTGGATCCTTGTAGATCCACTGCCTTGCAGTTGGCTGGTCACTCTATCTTCATTATTCAGTTTTGGCTGTGTTAACAAGGCCCTGGAAAATTTTAGGTCACACAAAGAGGTGAGTTTTGAATTATACAGAATTCATTATCAAGACATCCTATTACAATAAGTCAACAAAGTTTGTTTAGAGTAGATATAAATTCATGCTTTATAGTGACACAGAGGTGCTGAATTTGTTAGCCCTTTGTTATCAAGTGCACATTTTGCTTTACACATCTCTGCAAGCTGCTTGGTGGACTACATTGAATTATATGCTATACTTTCAATATTTTGTTACAATTACAAGAGAAAATAAACATTTGCTTGAAACTCTTCACCAGCCAGTGGAGCACATCCACCAAAAGATTAACCTTATCAGTGCAAAATCAAACAGTAGAAACTTTAGATGGTGGTTGTTGCAAACCACACATCAATATGAGTTTAAATAAATCTTTATTTCTTTTATCACTGTTCAACATTGCACATATTGTTGTGAAAAACTGTAAACACAGTTGATAAACTATAAAGGAAGAATGAAAGGAAAAGAATTAGAATCATTTTTACAGGAGTGATATATAATGGGAGGCGTAATGTATGCTCCCCACAACAGTGCAAAACAATATCCACCATACTAATGTGTTATTTTAATGTTAAGTAACAGTGCTTTGTTATTTAGTTGATCCTACTCTGACCCCTCTTTTCACAGTTTTTTTAAATGCTCAGGAAAGTTTACTTCATTTTTTAGCACCACAGGCGTATTCAACCTCGACAATACATACTTGAGAGTGACGTGGAGCACAAAGATAAACATAAACACACAAATAAACTCAGCCCTATTGTAAAGGCAAACTGACAAACAGATGGCTGTCATAGCTTGCTCTGGAAACAAACTCTTACCATGTGAAGAGTAATACCTGTGACATGTGTCCGGCAATTCCGGCTGTTTTATGTTAAGTATTGAGGCTTTTCCAAAGGAGATAGTCTTGTCTAGAGAGTTGATGGATGTAGTCACTAATCTGTAGGAGCGAAGAGAGCGAGGAGATGGTAGATAGAGAACAAGAAAGGAAACATGACAATAAACAGTCTTTCCGCTAAGCCTCTCTTGAAAACTGAAGGGCTGACTCAATGCTCTTATGTAAAACACTTACCTTTTATAACCATACTGTATAGATGACTTTCACAGTCTATCAACCAGAATAATTTACCTTCGTGTTATGCTGCTCATAAGAGTTGCAGCATTCTCTAAACTGTTGTTTCTAAATATTTTTGTATTAAAGAGGTAAACAAGGGATATGTAGTCGTAGATTACAGCTGTGATTATTGCAATCAAAACGAGACACATTCGTGTTCATTACAATTAGCTATTCAAGCACATGTACCATGATTAAACACATTCTATGACCAAACTGTAGTGTTGGCTGTAATACCAAGAGTCATATTTAGCAAACAAGCACTGAAGACTTGAGAAAATCACACAGCATACAGATCTAGTCATTCCAGAGCAGTGACACTTAAGATATTAACACTTATTCCATTCATACAGTAGCATGATCACACAGATGGCTAGCAGATAAAGTATGTTATTCACAGTTTCAGTATTTAGTGAGTAAACCACTGGAGATCCGTACTGTGCTGACCAAATATGTGATCATATTCTAGCTTAACAGAGACTATAAATAGCCTGCTTGTGTTCACACAACAGCCTCTTTTACCACCACTGGATATATTTGGCAGCTTTTGTGATCAAGTAGCAGGCAGAAGAATGAGCGACAGAGGGAGAATGTCTATTAAAAGCACAGGCTCACCTCCCACTCCTTCCTACAGTAACATGCTCAACACAAGTTCAACATTGCGTTTTTACTGTTTGATTGCTGTGTTTAAAATAAATGTAATTTATATTGTGAGGTGCACTGTCTTGTCTACGATCAGGAAGACATGCTGCCCAGAGGACCACATACAGTAATAACTGTGTAAAAAACCTTACAGATGAACAGCAGTCATTACAAATCTCTAAAGGCAGCACTGGTACTTATTAATATTTTCCCAGAAATGTGACTAATATAATCATTGTGCTTTGAGGATCATTTGGGGGGTGGGATGCTCAGCAGCACAACAGGCTACACAGCATGTGGCCATGTTGCATCAGAATACTGCCTGGAATTCCAGTTTCATTGGCATGACATGATGCAGGAGCAGGTGGCTTGTAATGAGTGATGATGAATGAGCACTGTGCTAGGCGAGGTGAGTTTTGTCATGCACCTGCTGATCTTCAGCTTGTAAGCACATTATATCAGTTGTACATATTCCTGCTGTCTGGTTTAGATGAAATGTCAAAGTATGCCATTTCTATTTGTTGGTGGCCAGGTTGCTAGGAAAATGATTTTAACTTTGCAGGTATAATCTCCAAAAGAATCAAAAGATTTTTACTCATGTGAAATTGCTTTCACTGAGAGACACAGAAGACTTATGTACCCTGGTCCATGTCTCCCAGAAACTCTCACAGGCCAAAACCGACTAATGAGTCTCATACATCTATATGTGCTGAGACACAAACAACACTGCATGATTTAGTGTTGTTTACTTCTAAACAATGAGAAGAACTTCCACAACAGCCAGCCAGTGGTAAAGTTGGTGGTTACAGGGTGCTATCGTAGCATGAGGCACCAGATGGGATTCAGATCTGGCTGTCTTCCTCCCAGATTCAAGTGCTAGCTGACTGCCCATAATGAGCTGAGCTAACAGACTGTGCAGCTGGGCTCCTCCTCTGCAATAATTAGCTCCCTGAAAGCTATAACTAATAACTATACTTTTAAACGCTCATTAGAACAACAAGAAAGACAGTTTGACCACTGAGCTGGCCAAAATGTATTTATTGAACATTTCCAAATTCTTGTTGTTCAAACCTAACATATAAATGTTCAGATCCAGAAAACTATCACATGGCTTTGCTTGGCTCAACAATTTGTGCCAGCAATATAGTTGTAGTACCTGCAATCAGAAATATTAGACAAATACTACTTTTTATGAGAGCTCATCAACAACAGAACAGTAACGTTCACAGGAGAACATTGGCTTCCAACTCAGTCGAGGAGCTCTTTTTCGTGGGTTGAATAATGTGTGCTGGGCTGTGAGTCAGAGATGTTGAAGAGGAGGAGAGAGGTTGCATCCCAGTCATGGTGTTGCTCTACATTCAGTCTGGGTGACGAGGGGCCAGTGCTACTGTATGGGCTGTAGGCAGCGGTGAATCACCGACCTGTTGCAACACTGTAGTGGCACAGATTCCTCTCTAAAAACAAGCTCCCTGTCCTTCTTCCATCTACTCCCCTCCAGTTTGATCTTTTGGACTATCCTCTTCAGGTACACTAAGCGGCATTGCCTATTGTCATGACAACAACAAATTAGCAATGCCACAGTCATGCAAGAAAGAATAAATGCCTCAGGCTTCAGCCTTTGCAGCAGTTCTCTGATTCAAACAGGGCTCTCTGGCTTCATAGTTTCCAGCTAACATCTACAGTTTGAAGATCAGGAGAGGATAACCCAGGCCAATTTGCAAATACAGCATCATTTTCAGAATCTGTGCTTGATATTACAAAGCAATATATTTTTGGAGGTGCATTACAGGCCTAGCCCATTTGGACTGGTTTGCACAATTCATGTGTGTGAATATTTGAATCCATTTGAATATATTTTAGTCAACTATTTTGAAAAAAAAAATGTCTCAAGAGTAGTTACAAGAGCAAATTTACAGTTTACACCCTGTTGTATCTAAGACTTGAAGGTGCTGCAAGTAGCATTGGAGATTATATTACTTGTGCCATGCACCAACACACTCAAAGAAAGCCACAAACATCGGTCAGAAATAGCTACCTTTTGTTACATGGGCTATTACAGGAAAAATCCACACTGAAACTGTTAAAATTGGTGCTGGCAGTTCGCATTTCTCAGCCTGCAGTTTCCAAACAGCTGCTTGTGAGAAGATATGCTGTCAATTTAAAATTCTTCCAACTATCCAGTGGAAGATAAAACAAAAAAGTGTAAACCCAATCAACTAAATCCTCAATTAGCCTTTAATCGCTAATTGGCTGGCATTTTTCCTGAACTCTCCAATGACAAACCTGTTGCATGTTGACTGTCCTACATAACAAGGTGGCACTAAAAACAGTTTACACTGGGACTCTGGCACTGAAGTGTTATCCATTTGTGATGGTCGAGTTGAATGAATATCACAATCTATGAAAGTATGCTAAGCACTTGGAAAAGCACTTCAAAAATCCATCCCATCATTATATCACAAATCCAAATGACAAAGAGGATCAGTGTGGGCTTCTAAAGAAGCCTTTTGGGAAAATGACACTTGAGAATATGGAGCAGCAGAGCTCCCTCTCTCTCATCACTACATACATTAGCATTGGCAGATCTGTTCTGCAGAGAGTTAGCTTCTTTTTGACTACACACAGGTGTCCTTTATTCCCCTTCTGCCATCCACCATCAGTTTGGACTGCCTCCGCAAACAGGTTACAGATTAAACACTCACAAATCTGACTGCACAGTCCTCCTGGCAAACTTTGAACCATTTCAGATGAAACATAGTCAGCATACTATTGTGAACTCAAAAAGAAGAATCATCATGAAGCACTAATCGCATTGCCTGCTTTGTATACACAACCCTTATGTATACAGTATGTTGCATTGTTATATTATCTATTTATATTTTTAATTATCTCTGTCACTAACACAATCTCTCCATTAATATTCAGTTTTTCTCTGCCTAAAAAGTCCTGTCAGTACTGGAATTTGTGATCTAACCAAATAGAAACCAGAAAGATGCAGCAAGCTTCCTTCACCTTTACTCTAGCCTTGGCAAAACCTGCTGTTACCATAGAGATACTTTCCTCCAACCACAGTCTTCATCTTGTTATACTTCTTTTTTTTTACTGACTTTGTAATTTCTTCCCTCTTTCTGCATTTAATCTCAACACAAACTACTTCAGCACCCTATCAAACAGTGGCTTAAGGTGAGCTGAGATCATTTGGAAAATCCCTGCATGATAGACAGTCAGATAAACTTTGTCTTAAAACTTCGTCAGTCTTGGTATAGATTCATCAGATTTCTGAAAAGGCTTTCTGTGGTCTCAGTATGACCATATATAAAAAGTGAAGAGTCTAAACACCACCCCAGGGGAGTGATAGCCATCTGTATGAGTATATGCCACAGTAAGCAGAGCAATGAAGAGAGATGAGCAAACAAAGGCACAGCATTTCAGTGTCGTGACCGAGAATAGTGCTCAGCCCTAACAGACAAGATACAGCTGCTGCATAAGCTCGGAGCTACCTTAGTTATCTCATCCCTCCATGAATCCTCAGCTGTAGTGACAGTCAATCAATCAGTCAAATAATAGTTCCATTTAACAACAATAACTGTAGCAGTTCAGACCTTTAAAGCAAGGATCCTGATTTCCTCCTTATCCCAACCCAGTCATCACGTTCAGTCCCTTCCTTATCTTTGATTGGAGCACTAAATATATTAGTATAGCACTTACTCAGAGACATCAACAGCTGACAGGTTTTCTATGCAGCTCCTTAGACGCGGCAGCTCCTCGTCCGGTAAGCCCGTTCATGTGGGGTCTCCCTAGGAAGCCACCAGCCGGAATGAGAGCTTCGCTGGTTCATCAAATTCGGGGATGTCATCCTCACTGGGGAGAAAGTAGAGCCGAAAGGAGAGAGAGAGAGATGCACTGTGGCAGGGCAGAGAGCTGTGAGGCAGTGAGAGCGAGCGGAGATTACTGCTTACAGAGAGGGAGAGAGGGAGGGAGTGGAGGACTACATAGAAATTGCATTGTAGAGTAATGCAGTAGACCAGTGATCACTAGCGATCACACATACTATAGAGAATGAGAGGAAGCGCTCCCCCCCTCTCTCTCTCTGTCTCTCTCTCTCTCTCTGTCACCCGCTCACCCATACCAACCCCCAACTCTTTCATCCTCTCCCCAT